TATTTATATACTTTTGTTGGCTGTTTAGTCCATTCTTTAAAAAGAAATCATTATTAAAAGCTTTCAATAAATAGGTACAAAATAGGTTTTTTATTTTGTAAGGACATGTATAGTTTTTTCTCTGAGTGTGAGCAATAAAATGGAGGAGAACTGTGGAGCAATCGTTGATGGCGACTTTTCGTTTGACTGTCACAGCGACGGCGACTTGACGGCCTCCACGGCGTCGGCAACTGTAAATGTGAAGGCAACAATTACATCGACAGAGGCAAAGGGAACCGCTAAAGCAAACACAACACCACACAGACATAGACAGACATACACACACACACATGAGGGCCGGGCATGTGTGCGTGTCTCGCTTTTGTTGCCATAACGGAAATGGACGCCATGTCGGATGTTTGAGGAAATGTTCGTATAGCGGTAACGGCAGCGGCGAGAATGTGTTTGTGCTTCCCCATTGCTCTACAAAGTCATATATGTGGTCTATTAGTTGGGCGACTGTTTTAAAACATTAAATTGTATTGACATTTGAAAGAGTAGTGGGTTGAACGGCATTGTCGAGCATTCCGATTGTTATTGCTCTGCTGCCCGCTCCATTGAAATCGAAATTAATTGAAATATGAGGCGGAAATTATGGTTGTGACATTACATTTAATAGAGTTTTCGGGTCAATATGGGAGCAAGCAAACATCTAGCTTTTTTTGTTTGAAATTACCTTTTCTTGCTTGGAAATATTTGAATGTATATTGTTAATGATTCCAATAGTCATTGCAAAACACTTCATTGAGTACGACACTCAAACTTTCGTTTGTTAAATTCCACTATTCATTCACATGATATTAATCTGCACCCAGGCACTTCCATCTGCTTATTCTGGACCCATCGGCCTCTGAAGTAAGCCAAAGTAACCAAACCATCTCCAAATATATACAAGATCTTTCCGCACACTCACTCACTATTCATATGCAGTCCGGCACTTGTGATATGAGAGTGTGTCTTGTCTGTTGGTTTGTTCGTTTGTTTGTTTGTTTGCTGAACAAGTGGGCGAGTGCGAATGCGAATGCAAGCGGGGCGTTTGCGTAAATGAATGATCCAAGTCGAGTGGAGTTGAACTGAGCCGACTTCCATGGTGGGCCAGCGAGGACTCGAGTTAAGCCTACACTGAAAAGATCAAAAAGATCAAAGCACAGTTAATTATAGCTAAACATTTGAATAACTGATCTGATTTAGTGATCCCAAAAGTTGACATTTTCTAAAATTAATTTTTATAATCATGAACAATGTTATAAATTAAATAAATACTATTTTTTTTAAATAGTTAATCAGTTTTATACAATTACCTAAACAAGAAACGAAAACAATGGTCTATGAAGTTATAAGAAACCTTCCACTTTGTTTAAGGATCCAAGTATCGAAATAATTATATCATTCTTAGTTATTTTTATTACTTACTTAATTAAAATCCTAATAATTTTCGTTTTCCGTGTATCAACGCCGTGCACGCATGGCTGGCGGAGCACTTGCCACGCCCCCGACCGCCCCTCTTGAATGCTAAGTGTGCTCGCCATGCATGCGTATGAGTAACGATAGTGAGAGTGTGGGTGAGTGGGCTCAAGTGGGTGGTCGCAGTGGGTGGTGCGGGCGTGATAGTGGCAGTTGTGGCTACAGGCGGCCACGGGGTTAAGGGAAGATGAGGGGCAGCGTCAAGAGCACTGGTGTTCAAGTGTTTGATGTATTACAAAATACGTATACGCAACCGCAGCCGACAATTACAATGCCTAGTGTCGGTTGGGTATTTCTTGTTCACTCCCTCGCACGCTCTCGCTCATTCGTGTTCGCTAAGTTGTGCGTTTATGCAGAGGGATTTCATGAAATGTTGTTCTACATTTCCGCAATTGAGAATTCTGCATTAATTTTTTAAGTAACGAAATTCCTTCATGCTTTAAAATTATCGATATTTTCGATAGTTTGACAATATCGATTCGATAATGTCGATGTTTTGAAAGGAAAACACATACAAAATATTGAGAAATATCAAATATATAATATCTTACTTTTGACTATTATTTATTATGAAACAATATATTATTTTTACCACTGCCTAAGAAGCGTTCTCGTATTCCACCCCATAAACTGATAATATGTTAGCAATGTGATTTAAGTGATAGAATGTGCGTTAGGCACACTGCATTTTATTAATACCAACACAGGCTTTGCTTTGTTTGGTTACCAGCATATTGATAACATAAGCGATAATTACAAAAGACTAGACCCCACTCTTTCGCTTTCACTTACACCCTGCATTGAATTGCCGTAAGTGGCCATTTATTTACATATATTTACGCCGAGTGGCACACTTCAAAGTTGGCTCTTCTGTTGTTTTTGCCGTCGCTACTTTATGGTTATTGCTTTTGCCGCCATAGACCCCACCACTGGTATTGTCATTGCTGCTGGCACTTTGCGTCATTTCAGGCAATTTATGAGTTTATTGAATAGCACGCAGCTTGTGTGCCTTTAATTGGCACTTCTTGGCGCATGTCATCAGCTGTTGTTAATGTTAATTGAGAGAAGGGGGAAGGCCCACTATTCCGCCATTCCAAGCGAAATGCATGCAAATAATCGCAGCCAGTGTATATTAGAACAGTCGTTGGCGCTATAATTGCAACACAATTTGCATAAACATTTTCACCGCCTGAGAATGCCGACCTCCGCAACATCTGCGACGAGTACGAATGCGAGTCCCTTTTAAATGGGCGGCGTGTGCCCAATTAACGCAAATTGCGAATGCAAAAGCCGTTCACTCGTTTTGGGGGTTTGTGTTTGGGTTTCGGCTGGTTTATTGCCATCCAAAGCGCGCCTGTTTGCCTTAGATAAGGGGTTCTGTTCTGTTCTGTTCTGGAACCATGTTGCAACGCAGTCACCATGCAGCAGAGCACACAGCACAACTGGGGGAGGAGTAACAACTTCCTGGAGCCGGGGCGGCATACAGTGCGTATGCTTAACTTGATTAGCGCCAATTAGTCTACAGTCGACTCGCATAAAGCCGCGAATTAGAGCATTTCAGCTGTTAATAATCTATGCCTGCCCTAATCCTTTAGTCGGTTTATGCAAAGTAATGAATTTCAAATTAAGGGAGTACTCTGGAAATTATCACAAGTTAAATTTAGATACCTTAAATTGCTTATTATGGTGATTAATGATATTTACTTTGGAAATAACTAAAAATATTTATTTTATTTCGTATTTAACATAAATTCTAATATTTAAGAGACATTAATAGAGACTTGAGACTAGCTAAATTTAAAATTAAATTAAATATTTGTGTTATATTGTTTAAAATTCAATACAAACACAAACAGCTTTCTATTCAAATTCCAATAAATTAGTTCAGTTAGTCAATCAATAACAGCCGCAAACAATTTATGCAAACAAACAAATTACTCAATCAATTAAATTTTCAAGTTGCATAAGCCTTCAAATAATTTTATAAACTCATTTTCATTTGCAAAGAGAAAAGTTAATAAACCAAAATTTACTCCGCCGCCATAAAGAAGTGGCCACAACTGCTGGCTTAACTTCTTTCAATTTGCCTTGGACAATTATGGGTGAAAATTTATCAGCAAGCTATAACAACTCGATTGTGTTCGCATAAAAAGAAGTGATAAAATTTATCTTATGAATTGGCCCATTTGCGGACGCTTTCGCTCTTGGCCAACTGACAATTCTCGGGCAATGCGATTAAAATTCGAGAATAAAGAGGGGAAAAAAGGAATCGGAATCCCTGGAAGAGAAGTTCTCCCTCCTTTCTGCTTTCTTTCGGCGCCCGCACAAAAGTTCTTAATCAAAATAACTTAATGATTATATTTGCTTGCAATTCCACAGTTGCTCACTCCTTTCACAAGTTTTCATGGCTTTCTTCTCTTCTCTTTTACAGGACGACGGCGGCCCACTCAAACTACAAAAACTCGACTGGACTAAACCCCGAAACCCCGAAACCCCTGAATACCGAATCCCAGCCCGAAACCAAACCAATTCGACGCCAACGCCAATTTTAACTACTGTTGGTGGCGCCAGCAGCGAATAGCGAATAATTGAATCATAAAGGACACGGACGGGCCACCGAAAGGATCCAGGATCCAGAATTCAGGATCAACAAAGCCGAGCAAATAATTGCTGTATAGTGTGCACGCGAAACGGTGGTCCAAACCCCCCACCACCCATTTCCGGTCGAGGGAAGGGGAAGGGGAGAGGCGTGGCACGTTGCAAAGAAGGAGGCTGCAGGGAAATGACAGCCGTCCTGCTTTAATTAAAGCCGGGGCGTGGCAGTGGCAGTGGGCGTGGGCGTGAGGCCCGAAAGTGTGCGCTGCAATAAAAGGAGGAAATTGAAACGCAATGTGGCTGATGCCGCGTACCGTGGACAACGCAACAAAGTGGACGAAATTGCTTTTGGAAGAGCACAGGACAGCGGCAGGAGCAGCAGGGAAGGCATTAATTTTGATTAAATTCACCTGAACATTCACATTCAAACAGAAACGGGCAACCAACTACCGACTACTGAGTGAAATATTAGCCAAAAAAACAAGAAAATACAAGAAAATAAAGGGGAAGAGCTCATTTTAAGCAGCTGGCTGGTGTGCATGAAATTCCTTGGAGTTTGGAGCAAACAGGAGCAGCAGGAGGCATCTTGTGGTAGTCGGTTTTGCGTGCCGCAGGCATTGCAACAGCCACACATGAACACGTCGCTGTGACAGGAGGAGGTGCGAAGGAGGGAGGCGAAGTCGGGACCCCAGCAAAACAGCATAATTTCGTCAACGGCAGCCGGGTGAACTGTCGTCGCCAGAGCATCACCCACCATTCCCCAGGACCCAAACCCAAACCCAATCCCAAACCCAAACCCAGTACCCCAAAACCCAACCCAACCCGGCCCACATCATCAGCAGGAAAGACGTCGCTGTCACACTCAGCAACGGTTGTCAGCAAGGAAAAGTATCAGAATCAGAATCAGGAGCAGGAATCAGGAAACGGAGCAGCAGCAGGAGCAAACCCAAACCCAAGCCAACCCAATCCAATCCCCAAAGACCGCGCCCCGATGAATCTGCTGTGCTGCTGTTGTTGCAGTAACATGGCACCAAACCAGCGCGTCACACGCAAATGGGAACTGTTTGCCGGACGCAATAAATTCTACTGCGATGGATTGCTAATGTCCGCACCGCACACAGGCGTCTTCTACTTGACGTGCATCCTGATTACCGGCACCAGTGCGCTCTTCTTTGCCTTCGAGTGAGTATACGCCCCGTGCTCAATTCAGCCATTTGTCAGTGCAGTGGGAAAAAATATTGAGTTATTGGATTTAAAGTATATTTAATGAGATGCAAGATATTTGAAACTATTGAATTTAGTTTTTAGCTTTATTTTTTTTTTTATAAATTGAATTTAACATTAAAGTCAGTATAATTTTGTTGTGGAAATAAGAGCTTGCAATGACTCGTAAAGTTAAAATAAAAAAGAGTTCTATAATTTAAAAAAAGATCGGTCAGCAAATTAAGTATTTTTTTTATTTTTAAGAAAAAAATATTAAGCGCCTTTTTTGGGCAGCATGTTAAATTTAAAGTAGGGATTAAAAAGTAAAAGAATTCAGAGAATTCAGAGTTTAAAGCGTATTTTATATTTGGTGAGATTTTTTTACAACAGTCCAATTCAAAGTATAATTTTCATAATTTAAATTTAACCTTTAATTCAATTTAATTGTTTGTGTAAGTAAATTTTATTTTTTATAAGCCTTTTTTTGCTATAATCTTTTTTTTTTGTTTTTATAAGAGCTTCCAATGACTCAGAACAAAAAAGTGAGAAAGTTTAAATAAAGAAAAGTTCTATAAATAAAATAAACAAGATAAGATAGCAATAAAGAACTTAAGTTCATTAATTCTTATACCTTCTAAGTAACTAATAGCTTATAAATAAAACAGATAAGATAGAAATTACTCAAAATCCCCTTAATCTGTACTTAATATTAAACAGGCACCTATTTTTCCACCGTGTGACAGTGTGAGTGTCTGGGTGAAGCTGGCCTCCCCTTAGTTGCATTGTGTGCAAAATGTATACGTTGCTAATTAAGCATTGCCCAGTAACCCTTCCGGGGCACCGGGATTGCCGATCCCCGATCCCCTCACCCCTTCCCGGCCACCAGGTCATGCTTGATTTCCAATTACGCCCACATTAATGGTCTCTGACTTTGGACTCTTGCTCTGGTTTCATCGGTTTCAACGGGTTTCTCATCCGGTTTCTGTTGCCGTACCCCACTGTCTGCTGTCCGTCTCCGTATCCAATGGCATGTAATTATTGCTGTGCAACGTGGCGTATGCGTTATGCTTGGCCGGGCAAAGGACAGGGCCATCCAAGCTGCTACTGCTGCTACTTTTTCTGCTTGATGTCTCTGTCCCTGTTGAATCCGTTGAATTACGGAAATTCGTGGAGATTGCAAACGGGGGGGGATGGACGACAAATAGTTTCAGCTTTTGATTTGTCAATCCGCCCAAAGGTTGTCCGGTATTCAAATATGTGATGCTACTACTGCCAACCCATCCAGTGGGAAGCCACAGGAAATGCTCTACCCCCAACTACGAACTAGGGTCTAGTTCTAAACTGAATTTTAATTTCAAACTCGTTCATCCGGGACACATTTCTATTTCCTGTTGCTAAACTTTTCCGCTATTAAACGCTGATGGCGGTGTTTAATGGTTGAAAATTAAAGTTATTGAATTATTAATGTTCATTTTAGGGAACAGGCTACTCCGAACTTTGCATGCTCTCTCTTGAGCTTAACTTATTTTTTCGTTTTCCTCCTTTGTGATGATAAGTAGTCAAACGATTTTTTTATATTTCTGAAAGAAGATTATGGCAGCAAGAAAAAGTGCAGTTCTTTCGAATGGAAAGTCTGTCTGAAATCAAAGGAGAAACATCAGTAAAATGGTTTTCTTATATGGGACAGCACAAAAATTAAGAAGGAGAGCAGGAATTTCCAGGAACATTATTATTGTTCGCTACCATCATGTTGACCCAATAATAACACAAACGTTCAAACGATTTTCCAGGTATTGAAACTAAATAAATATCCCAGAGGCGTACGGAAAACCCACAGCCCACAAACGTTTAACTATATTCAATTTAGTTGCACGTGTCAGTTCTCTTCTCCCAGCGACTGACCAAAAATAACGCATACGTCACGTAGTGCAAATACAAATTGAACGCAACGTTAAAGCTGCGTTACCATTCGCCACTGACAGCGCGATTAGACAAAATTATGCTCAACATTTTCTGCACGAAATCATTTCGGCACCACAGAAAGGAATCGCATGTGCGGAGGCGGAGGTTGCACCACAAAGAAATTGAAATTCCCATGCCTAGGAACCATGTTCCGTATTCTGTACCTTCAGCTGGCTCTCCTCTTGCGTTCCAAATTTATTCGCTGCCGAGATGGGGCTGCAGCGCGATTTTATTTTCATTGCTTGCTTTACATTAGCGCACAGTCGAGTGGAAGGCGGCGCCCCAGTATGGATGGGCATTACAATATCTGCAATGCCTTTGAGTGCTCGCATAGTTATTCCTGCAAATACTCGCACATATCCTCCGAGTGCACACGAAAAATTGCAGTACCTCTAACCCGAATTTCGGCTAGCAAGAAGAAATCAACTGAAAAATGTAGGGGTCTATGGAATATAAAATGGGATAAATTAGGTTTATTTTGATAGAAATATTTACCCAAATTAAATTGATTTTTGGGCAGTTAGGGGGATAAAATATAAATAAATATTAGTATAAAAAAATATTTTAGAACTAATTTCGATTTGAAATCTTAAGAAAAGGCAACGTTTTAAGTTACTTCGAGGCAACTTAAATTTGTTAATAGTAAGATTTTAATTTATTTAACCAAATATTTTATCATAAATTTAATCATTTTTGGAGATTTAGATTGAAACTGAATTTAAATACATATTCCACTTAAACAAACATGCAAATTTACCTTTAATTCAATTAAATGTTAGAACTAGAATATAAATTTAAAAGGTTTAGAGTCCATAGGTAGCCTTAATTTTTTTTTGTATGTAGGCAGCCTGGGGATGTGTGGGCAAACTCAAATTGTGTTTCGTTCGACGCTCTCCGGCAATGCAAATCGCTAAAAGGTAGCACACAATGCATGAGGGGCTCTCCTCCTTCGAATTTCCCATTTTCTATTTTCTATGGCATTGTCAGCGATTTGCCAGTTGAATGCGAGAAAAGCATTTTTTGAATGCATTCCTATTTAAGCTCTACTATAGCAGCAAAGGGCGGGATAGGGGAAGGGGGAATCGGCGTTGTCATGACAAATGTATTTAACAATTTTCGGTTGGTTCTGCTAACTGCTGACTGTTCCCAAAAATGAAGCCTACACCCCATCTCATCTGGTACATCTGGTAAATCTGCTGGGACTTGTCACACATAATTGTCACTAAGCACTCGGGTGGCTGCTGTCCTTTGTGGGCCGCTGGCGAGTGAAAGTTGCCACTGGTGGATGCGGCGACTTTTGCTATTCACAAATCGCTGGCACGCATCGGGCATTAAGTAACAATGCCGGGCCAGAGCATTGTCCTATCCCCATCGGGATTGTCCCCCATTTCGGGGGCATATTTGCTCGGGCACCCACATTTGGGGCATTGCCAAATCACCGGGGACATTTGCATGCATTTCTGAGCAGATCAGAACAGGGCAGGGCCCACTCGTGGCTGCAGTGAATCCAGTGCCTGCATTTTGGGGTTTGATTTAGTGCATGGGAAGCCGGAGATTTGGGGAATCAAATTTCAATGGGTGCTTCCCAAAAAGGACACGGTCGAAGCTTAGACAGCATCCAGTGCTCAGTAGTCTTTGGTAATCTCTCTAGTTATGCTTCAATCAGTTTTTAAAGAGCTACATGATAGAGCTTGAAAATGATCGATTTTTTCGATATTTTGACAATATTAAGGTGCTTTGAAGGAAAAACACAATTTAAATATCGAGATATAGCAACTGTTGATGTTCATGAGCTTCTGACTTTGAATGGATGTGGATAAAGACATAGATAAGTTTGCGATATATTCTGTAATAAAAAACATTTTAAACATCAAAGGGAAATTAACCATTGAATTCTTTTTTATACTTTATTCGCATAGGGTTATTGAAATATATATTTGTTATTCAAATTTGCCTTGATTTTATTTAGTAATATTTATTCATAATATTTATTGACATATGCCTAGTTTATTACCATTATTACTAAGAGAAAATCGTCGATAAATCTTGTTTTATTGACATGCCCCTAGTTTATTGCCATCGGGGTCCAAATCAAGATGTTGCCACAAGCGTAATGACAGAAACATCATTAGATTAATGACATATTTTTCTTTTTGTATCTGCTTGCAGCTGTCCCTTTCTGGCGGACAGCATAAATCCGGCCATTCCGATTGTGGGAGCGGTCCTCTACTTCTTCACGATGAGCTCCTTGCTGCGCACAACCTTCACGGATCCGGGCGTCATACCGCGAGCCTCCAACGATGAGGCCGCCTATATCGAAAAGCAAATTGGTACGTTACTCATCCGCCCCGTGGTCGCAATGGCAATAGCAATAGCAAAAGCAAAAGCAATCGCGGGCACAGTCGAAGTCCTTGCGTCCATCCAAAAGGAAATGTGGCCAAGGTCGTTGGCTGCTGCTGCCTGTTGCCTGAGTATCCTGCCCATCCTTCTCCTTCGACTGCCACGCCCCTTGCCAAATACTCGCCCACTCAAACACATACACAGACACTTGCGTACGTATATATATTTGTTTTCACTTCATTAAGTCTGTATGTGAGTGGGAAAAGGGGAGGAAAAATGAGGAGCACGTAACGTAAAAAGTAATGAGCGTGGCATGACATAGAGTGAAAGGAAAAAATGAAGAAAAAAATATATATTCCGTATAAAAATCATCAAAGGCGAAAGCTGCGTTGCCTTTGCACTAATGAGTTGCTGTTGTTGCCTTTGTATAAAATATTTAAAATGAGAAAACTTTTGCCTTTCCACCCTGCACCTCTGCATGTCAACAACGTTCTGCTGTCGATTTTCCTGCTGATGCTGCATTTCCTCTGCGACGCTCTGGATAAATCCGGGAATAAATATGAATATGTGTGGATAACCCAAAAACAGAGGTGCCAAACTCGCTGAACAGCCCCACATATCGACCGCCGCCGAGGACCAAGGAGGTCCTGGTCAAGGGCCAGACGGTCAAGCTGAAATACTGCTTCACCTGCAAGATCTTCCGGCCACCGAGGGCCTCGCACTGCAGTTTGTGCGACAACTGCGTGGACCGCTTCGATCACCACTGTCCCTGGGTGAGTGATATTAGTAGTGGTAGTTTCGCTGAGTGGGTCCTCGACAAGGACACCCGGCACCTCGTTAGCGGTGGCGCATTTTTAATCACTTCCCCCGTCCCCAAAGCCAACTGACATTGAGCCAACACAGCCAAGAGCCAAGAGCCAAGAGCTGGGCCGCATTAGAGGCTCTGGCGAAAGCGAAAAGTGGGCCACAAAACCAACAGCCTCTCGTCGTCGCTGACTTTAACCCAATTCCGGCAGCGGCAACCGCTGAGGTTGCTAATTTTTTAGCAAAAATAATTTCAGCCGAGCGCACGTCACGTTTTTCAAGCTGGAGCGTAGAAAAAAAGCGCACTTGGACGGACGGACTCCCTCCAATCCTTTGCCGGTTTTTCTTCTTTTTTTTTTGTATCCCCGCCAGCGACACGCTGATGCAACAAGATGATGGTAGCTGTGTGTGTTTGGACAGGACCAAGCAAACAAACCAACCACACTTGCATCAACACACACACACTAACCTAAGTAGCCACACTCATATTTGTGATGGTTCTGTTTTCGGGGGTGTTGTAGCATACATTTCGGGTTGGAGGCGCCATCATATCATCATCATATTCCCCCGGGGAGGCTCAAATCATCGCACATACCCTTACGGATTAAAATGAAGTACCTTCCATTCACAAAGTCTCTTCTCTTTTAACGCTTTAAATATTTACATTGCTTTGTCTATCAATTAAAATGCCCCACAATAGCATTTTACCTTTGCAAAAATAGCTCTTTAACTATTCATACGTTTGTTCTCTAATTGCTTTGTCCCACGACAATATTGATTTGCACTGTCTTTCTTGGCTTGAAAATTATTTTCACCTTGATTTTAACTTGCCCATTTCACAATCAATTTATATTGACCTGCAAAGCATTTAACTTGGGGAAGGTCAGTCGAGTCATTAAATATTTACACTAGGATGAGCATTCCTTTTCAATTTAGCTGACAAATTTATAACTACAAAAGGGGTTTTGTAAATGTAAGGGAAATTTGAAGAAATATTTGAATGCCTTTAAATAATTTACTTCTTAGCTAAGATTTCTAGAAATATTTATTTTAAAATAGATTGCTTAACTTTTATAAAAGTTTTTTCAATAAATATACTAAAAAAGAAAGTGTATTCACCCCTCTGTCTGTTGAAAATAAAAGTCCCCACCAGTTAGTGTTGTTGTCATGCCTTTGCCATCGCCCCTTTTCATTTAGCCGGGCTCCGGCGTAATTTAAACCCCCGAAGGAGAGAGAAAGTACTAACACAATCGCTTCTGACAGCTTGAAGGTCGACTCGAGCCTTTTGGGGCTTTGGTTCGCTGTTCGCGACTCTGTTCCAAAGGGTTGGCTGGGCTGAAATGAGGGGTCTGAAATTAAGGCATTTCTCGGTCGTAATTTCGGGTAATGCCACACATCTCGTGAAAATGCAATTAACCTTATTATGTTAGGGGTTCTACAAAAGATCTGTTATCCGACTTAATTTTCGCCCCATTGTATCTTTATAACCCGTTTAACGTTCTCTTTACAGGTGGGAAACTGCGTGGGCAAGCGGAATTATCGGTTCTTTTATTTGTTTCTAGTCTCATTGGCATTTTTAGCTGTATTTATATTCTCGTGCTCTGTGACGCATTTAGTTTTATGTGAGTACATTGTGGAATGCCAAGCCATAAACCAGATGAATTATATGTGTTTATTATTTCGCCGGTCAGTGATGAAAAAGGAGCATGAGGTCTTCAATGTAATCAAGAAGGCGCCCTTCACTGTGATTGTTGTGTTCATTTGCTTCTTTTCGATATGGTCGGTGATCGGCCTGGCCGGCTTCCATACCTATCTGACGACCAGCGATCAGACGACCAACGAGGATGTAAGTATATGAAAATAATAGGGAACTTATTATTATTTAAGAAATAAAATTAAATTTCAAAGTTTTAATTTAAATTTAAAACAAATTTAAAAATTTTAATTTAAATAAAATAATAATTATACAGTTTTTTGTTATCATAATTTAAAGTATTTAAAGTAGTTTTGGAAATATATTTTCAAGATTAAATTATTTCTTTGAAAATGTTTAAAAATAAATAATGTTTTCCGATTGTTTACAAATGTGATTGTATTCTGGGTTGTGTACTTGTGTTTCTTAAATGTAGGTGTTTACTTAAAATATGATTTATACACACAATTCTTTGGAATTAAGTAATGGATAAACAATAACGATAATAATTCTAGGAAATTATATCTGGGCTAAATTGTATTTAACTTTTTATTTAAGCTTTTATTTAACTTGCAAACACTACGCTAAATTGATCAAATTATTTTACCGATTTGTCAAGAATTGTTACAAAAGGAATTTATTAAAAAATGGGTACATATTATTGTGGTTTTAAATTTGTATAGGTACTTTTTTTTTTAAATTAATGAATAGTAATTCGAAATGTATCTTTATAATCGAGTTTATTTAATATATTTTATTCCCCTACAGCTCAAGGGATCCTTCTCCTCCAAAGGCGGTCCGCGCACCCAAAATCCCTATTCGCGGGGGAACATCTGCCTGAATTGTTGCCACATCCTGTGCGGACCCATGACGCCCTCGCTGATCGATAGGTAAGACAAACTTTAAGAGTTCCCGGATTTACTGACATATTAACTGGATTTCGATTAACTGGCAGACGCGGCATCGCCACCGACGAGTGGCAGCAGATGCAGCACCAATCGAGTCCGCGGCATGCGCTGAGCGATGTGCTGAGTGCCTCGCACATGGTCACCACCTCGCAGCCCATGATGGGCGGTGGGATCGGTGGTGCCGGCGGCGGGATCAGCATTGGTGGGGCGGAGCTGAAGCCCCGGTTCTACGACGAGGTAAGCGGCCCAACCCCAAACCACCGGCCACATTGAGCCAATCCAAGCGCACCCTTTCTCACCCACCGAAATCTCAAAAATATCTAAATGTCTGGGCACTCTGCTTGCTTGATCCTTTGATCCTTTCTATATTAATATCAAGTATCGAATCAAAACTCTCGTACGATGAACTTTTGTGCACATCATTTTGAAGATCTGTAATTCAACCTTTTCTTTTTTGTGTTCTATGCAATGTTCTTTTTGGTAAACTACTACTACTACTCGAATCATACACCTCAATCGACACAATCACACCACGATAACGACCAAAACAGTCCAATCCCTCCTCCTCGACACTGGAGGGCAACGGCCATGGGAATGGGAACGGCCATGGCAACGGCAACGGCTTCCACAGCGACCATCCGCCGCCCAGCTACGACCTCGTTCAGAACGGTAAGTCCCGCAAGCAGCACCAGCAGCGCTGCTCCCTGCAAACCCTGCTGCCGGCCAGTGCCCAGCAGCAGTTCAAGGCCAGCAAGCATAAGCATAGCAAGCAATTGAAGCAGCATCTGGTGGCCGCCGAGCTGCAGCAACACGAGGGACTGGTGGCTCCCAATTCTCCCTCCCTTCTGCGCTCGCCGGCCACGTCCTCCTCGTATCGGCTGAACCTGAAGCGATCGCTGCACCTGCCGCTGACACCGTCGTACGACGACGTCCGCCACTCGCCGCTGCCGCTGCTGCACCACCATGTCCACGCCCAGCAGACCACCGCCATTGGCAGCGTGGCGGCAGCGGCAGCGGCGGTGGCCTCCGGCGCCAGTGGTACTGGAACGGGCAGGGTTACAGGTGGCTCCTCCTCCTCCACCACCACCGCAGCCAATTCGGTGTCCGTTTCCCTGGCCACTGCTCCACCGCCGCTGGCGCCGCGACGACCGTCGACGCTGCAGCTGCAGGCCAGCGGAGCGATCTCCGCCAGCAACAGCACCCTGACCACCATCCATACGACGGCGCCACAGCCGCCGGCGCCCACGGACTTCAAGTACTATTCGCCGCAACGCAGCACCGACTCCAATCTGATGCCGCAGCATAATTATCCGTTTACGAAGCAGGCGCGCGGAATGCGTCGCCAGTCGACGATGTCGGTGGACTCGCAGAAGGTCAATATAGCCGGCTATCAACCGCTGCCGATGCGGAAACCCTACAAACACCAGGAGGTGATGTTCGAACTGAAGTCGCCGACCAATCGGCTGACCATTCGCGAGTGCGACTTTGGCGGTGGCGGTGAACCCTGCGATGACGATCAGTCGATCAAGGACAGCCAGATCTTTCGTGTTAGTAAACGAAATCTTTATATGAATCACCGGTCGCCGTGGAAGGAGCGCGACCGCTACTCCAATCTCTACGAGTACTCGTTTAACATCGATCTCAACTCGATCATCGAGGATGCGGCGGGCAGCGACTCGTCATAGTACGCAGCAGCAGTCGGCTGCTCCCCGGTTGTCCGCCTCCCAGTCATCCTCCTCGATCGGTTGTTGGGCGCTGTACATAATAATAAGGCCGGGACCTGGCCAGCCCGAATCCTACTGCTTCCACGCTTCTGCTAAGGCGGCCAAGTCAAGTCCAGTTTCCGGGATATTCTATATTCTATCCTCTAACTGCGGACTCGTGATTATGATTTAGTTAAGACCTCAGTTAGGATTTAAAATAAGGGCTTTATCTAGGCTTTAAATGCGGTTTTGAATAGTTTGTACATGCTTTAATCAAGGCTGCATACTGTTTTTTAACCGAACTCCTTTCAAACAGTTCGGGTTTATCCAAATTTGAACTGCACGAATTTAAAATTAAATTGCTTTTAAAATATACAAGTAGAATATTCGGCAAAGCACACTTATATTTTCATTTATGACTTAAAAATAAATATTAAATATTATTAGATTAATTGTAAATCACGATTGAATTCAACAGCTAACCCTCTTTTGTGTTGACCTTTTCTTTTTATCCAAGCAAATGCTTTCGCTTCGACTTGCAAAGTAAATATTTTGCTCAACTCGATGTTCAAGCCAACGGACCGAATAAATTTAAAAGTTTGCAGCCTTGATTCGAACTTTTGAGGGAATCTATCACAGTCTGATTGTGGCACATTTGTGAGACTCACTTGGCTTCCATGATGCGCATAGTTGCTAGAGCATTGTAGCTGCCACCCTTTGCAGCCTGAAATCCTGAAATCCGAATTTGTGTTTGCACCCTTTGTAGAAGTCGAACTTGTATGATTTTTGTTTAAATGTTTGAAAAACCCCTGCCAACCGCTGTAGTCTCCCCGTTCCGTTCCGTTCCGATCCCCCGAAACAAACTTGGTTCATAGAAACTTTTGCGTTTATATAGCACCTGCTTCCCAGGCTAGGTGCGTCGGATCTCCTCTGCTGCAAATGCGATTGCAATAGGGGAGCTTCGGCGCCAGGGGCCGCAAATGCCACCCATGTATATGTATCCACCTTGGTCTACGTCCCAGCGCCGCCACCTCCAATAGTGAAGACACCAACTAACCAACTAACCAAGCAACCAAGCAACCTACTAACCAGAAAACTAGAGAACCAAAAAACAAAATAACCATAAAACCAGTAAACCAGTAAACCAACATCCCAAGCCAAGCATGTTTGACTTTGTTCGCCTAGTAAAATGCTTAAGTTTTTGATTTTTGTTGGGAACCTCGTGAGATTCCCACGGCTGAAAATGGCCTGAAAAACGATCGCAGTCACTTGGGCCCTGAGTTAAATTTTTCGAATTATTTGGAAGGTTTCAACCGAAAATAGAAAATAGATTATGAACGAAAACCGAAAATCTTAACTTGCAATTAGAAAATGGGAAATTAGCAAAACACTTAATGAGCCAAAATAACTGCCATTTATCGAAGCAACATTTTGTTAGGACTTTTTTCATTTTTACAATGAAAATTAAAATTTAATGTAAACGTAAACGTAAACGTAAACTAAACACGCAATTCAATAAGAATTTGATAAACTATGTATCAGAGTTAAGAGGAGAGTCATTTTTAAACTACTAGTGGAATACGAAAAATTGTTGCAAACGGATCCGAATATCAAATATCTCGAATATGTCTTAATCTTGAATATTGGAACATTGCCAAGTGACTGCTGCAAATAATTAGCAATAAAAACGGAATACCGAACAATGCGTTGAAATTGAAATGAAAATTGAAATTGAAAATATTTATACCTAGTTGTAATAGTTGAAACACATTTCTCCGGGCAGGAGATTGCTGGACTTTTGGGGAGGTGAAAATCGTAAAGCGTTATAGGTATATGATAAGCCAGCTTGATGAAATAATTGCGGCTCAAGAGCCGCCTACAAGGCTTTAAATCTTGAGCATTAACAATATTATGGGTTCCTTTTATAATTAATTGCAAGTGAAATACGCATTAGCGAGGTAATTGAAGTTGTAGGTAGTTATATATATAATATATTATATATATTTCATGCTGAGTCAGAGCGTGAAAGCGAGTGTTAACTGATGATAAAGTAAATTTATATACTTATATATACACAATATGTATGGTTAAATGTTGGGCAATAAAGTGTATCTAGCGTATGTTTAAAATTGATCCGAATGAAATGTTGGCGGATCGCCAGCAGATCCATGACTACATATAAGTACTAATCCCGATGTTGAAGCGTATCGCAGCACCCTTTCAGGAAGATCGTGAGACCTACTTGCGATCCTGATCGATTATTGGAACCATATATGTATATTGAACCCCCGAATCACCCACACACATAGACACGAAGTTGAGGGTTATTCTTCGGATGCTTCAGATTTTAAGTTCCGTTCGCGTCTATCTCCTCTGATCTCTCCATTTTCCATTATCCCTAGGTTCCCTGATTTTGGTTTTGACTGGCAAAGCGCGCACACATCCACCAAAAGCTATAACCTTCCTCTTGATTTATCGCACACTAATGTCAAACTCTTTCTGTATCTTTCAACTTGACTCTGGGAAAAATACAATACTTGCAAATTTGTGTCTGTAACTATTTTGTGAAACTAACCTAAACCAAAACAAAAACTGCAATTGAGCGAAAGTTGTCGAGGGCCGCTTAAGACTAGAGTAAAAATGCATTTTAAGCCTTAATTGGGTGAGTTCTCTCCTGATGCAAAACCATTTAATTGTTGTATGTACTACAAAATAACCGAACAAAAAAAACTGAAATTTAACCAAAGCTTTAGAGTTTCGTTTGAAATTAGCTACACCACCACCGCATACATATCCATATCTTTGAGTTGATTTTCCCGTTGCTTAAACCGCCAGCGCGAAATAGCTAATCTATATACTATTCGTTTGATGTTTGATTATGTTGCTCATGCCGATTCGTATCCATCAAATAGACCTAAAGGAATCACCAACACCCAAATGAAACACACACCAAAAACCCACCTGAAACACAATCCAACCAAATCAAAGTTTAATATGGTATTTAGCGATAATTTATTGGCATTCACAGTTGTATACACCTACTAATTGTACTCACAACATTTTGAAAGCATGCTTTAAATTGTTCAATTGGCACCGACTAAACCACCGAGTCCATTATCCATTATCCATTAATTAGCGCCTAGTTTCGGTCTTTATTTGCGCATACTCTCCGCCGTTTGTCATTTAGTTTTCTGTTGTTTATTGATTCAAGAGCTTATCAACTGATGAGTTTCGAATTAAGTTGATTTCGCCCAGTTCCGAGTTCCTCCGGAAGGAGACTCTGGATCAACCGCACCGAACTGCAATTTTGCAAATCAATTACACGTGTATTTGTTCGTTTCAACAGACAGAACCCATTTAATTAAATTACGATTTTAATTTGCCGCCCTCTTTTCAGCATTTATGATTATTTGCATATTCAAATAGTTTTATTTTCCCACAGCTAAACCAAACAAACCATCAACGACCACTAGCAAAAGAGCAATAAAACCACTAGATATAAATGCTCCAAATTGAAATTCGAATTTTAAATTAGTTGGCAAATTTGTTGTAATGAGCATTTGAATATTTTACATGCATTAATTAAACATACAAAAGATTGAAATTAAATACGATTTACTAATCACGTCCTTTTTCTGCGCCCTCTTCCCTTTTTCTCTGTCTCGTTCACAGGTAATTCCAATAGTCTAGCTCAGTTGGTGGACAACGAGATACCGCTGGCCCAAATGGACATACCGGCTTACACCCATCAGACGGCCACGCAGGCGCGTCAGTACCGCCATCACCGTCATCACAAGCAGCGCAGGATCTCCAATGGCGGGACGGTGAGCTATGAGAACCAGCTGGCCACCGCCAGCAGCGAGGATGAGCTGGACGATCCGGACGTGGTGGTGGTGGGCAGTCCGGAAGTGGTGGCTGCCGTGGCGGCAATAGCCTCCAACAAGGCACGCGAAATGCGCAATCGCAGCGGCAGCTACAGCAATCTTTTCGATGCGGACTTCGAGGCGGCCCTGGTCAAATCTTCTGAGGGAGGAGGAGCCGCCGCCGCCGCCACCAGTTCGGGTAAACCCTCGGCGGGTGCAGCTCTACTGGCCGCTGCCATCAGTGGCCAAACGGAGAACACCTACAGCAATGTGCTCCCGGTGGGCAGTGATGATACGGCTGATGATTCGGCCACCCTGCATGTGTACTCCAACATCATCGACGAACGCAAGCAGCAGCAGGCCAGCAATGTGCTATCCTCCACCCTGCTCTGCGATGATCTCGACCTGGACGATCCGGTTAGTGCCTCGTGTCATGTGAAGAGGAAATCCCTGGGCGATGGAGCAGAGCAGGTGAAGTCGGCGGAGCGGCTGAGGATGCTGCACGACACCACGATGATAGACACGGCCTTGGATTTGGACAGCCTGGATGGATCCAGCATGGGCAACAACTCGCAGTCGTGCCTGGTGAAGGCGTCGTCGGGCAAACCGAGTGTTAACTCTGCCAACGTGGCCATAGTCTGAGCGGTCCTTTATTTTTTTATGTTCTGTACATAAGTGTAGATATTCATGTCACCAGAGGAAAGGAGAGAGTATTAAGCGATTTTTAATCTGTTTAGCTACATACTATGTGTGATGCGGTGGCTGACGGGGGGAAGATATAGAAAGCAGCAGGCAGATAAAATATTACCTTAACGCGTTACGCATTCAAAACAGATATATATCTATGCATATATGTAGATGATAATAAGTAAAGCATTTACGGATATATGTATGCATATGTATAATACAAATATGTGGTGAACAATGTTAACAATTCGAGGGCATTAGCGAGGACAAAATAAAGGAGCAAACCAGTACTATGAAGAAACTGTTTATACAATACACGACGCATACATATAAATCAATTATAAGTACATATACATAATGATACACATTTACAATGTACGGTTAGTTATAGTGTATAATTTTTGTATTTAAGTTTTTACAACAGCAGAAACCGAAACAGAAAAGGAAACGGAAACAGTTCAGAGTTTAAAACCATTTGCGGTGTAGTAAGAAACCGAAGAAACAAAGAAAGCCAACTAGAAATATCCTGCAATATACGTGAAGTTGAAATTGTCGAAGCGGAGATGAGAAATGTTAACAGCATAAGAGTTAAAAGCAACAATGTGGTGTATTAAATGTTCATAAATCTACCAATAAGTGTATTTTCAAGGTGTAAAATGTTATATGACATCAATTAAAACGAGTTCGAGATTTCGACAAGCTCCATTGCATTAGAGAGCAAAAATGTTAAGCGTATGTTATGCGAAACTAACAAAACTACAATTATACAAAGAATAAAGATTTATAAATAGAGAAGAATTGTGATTTATTTGCTGGGATAAGGCAAAGATTAAGATTGTCAACTGAGAAATGGTAATGAAATTTTTGAATGATTTGAAAGGAAATAAACTAGATGGTTTTTTCGCCCCATTTATTTTGAAATAAATATTATGTCAACGTAAAAATTTAAGCACGATGACAAACCGCCAAAAACCTATCGATTCATCGGTAAGAGTTTATAGTTTTGGCATGTCTGAACTTGATGGTATGTTTTAACGGTTTATTTTTGGTCACACTGACATGGAGACGAAAACATTGAATTCGGAATTTGTAAAAATTCGTCCAAAAAACGGATATTTAAGGTAATTTCTGACATGGATTAGCTTAGCAAAGTTAAAAATCAAGTAATTTCAGTGCCAAGGAGCTAATAGCTCATCGCCACTCGGAGTTTGAACCTCAAAGTGGAGGATTAAAACGAACCCAAAATGAAGGCACTGCATCGGAACTTGAAGAGCTCAGACGAGCGCAGGGTAAAGATTTGTTATACTTATTATATATTATTTATTATTATTATTATATATTAAAGAACAATTGCGAGCTCAATTGTCAGTGCCCCGGATAGAAAGACTTGGAGGAAGGGCCCTTGCCATCTGGAATGAAGAGCAACAAGTGGCTGAAGTCCTGCGCAAAGATGGTAAATTCGAAAACTTTGGATACAGTGAGCAGGGAAGGCTCTACCTAGAATACTACGAGGCTATGTTTTTATTGGAACTGGTGAGCTACCAAGTATTCCTATAAATCGTAACCAGATTTATAAAACATCCTTTTCAGGGGCGTCTACAATTGGAGTACTACGTTTCAGTGGTTTCAATAGAGCAGGCTTATGTGCTCCTCCTCGGCGAGAAGGAAAGCGAGAAGTATTCCAACTACCTGGTTTATTCGGCTTTATCTCGTGCTGGCTATATAGTTGTCAGGCATAAACCTCCTGAACAAATTCCGGAGCAAGTAACTAGTGCAGATTGCATTTGGGCCCTGCTGAAGGAGAAAGTGGGAAATCAACCAGTACCAGAGCACATTAAAACATCATCTTTGTACGCCGATGTAGAAAAACGAATGGAAGATTTCAAGGAACTCATTACATCTCAAAAGAAAGAAGACCCTAAGATCACCGAAGATTCCATCGATCTAAAATTTAACTCAAAAAAACGCAAGGCGATTGAACAACCTATCGAAGAACCGGTCAGTAAAAAAGAAAAGCTTTCCATAATGGGTCGCAGTCTGGTGGATCACCTGAAAACCGAATCATCGTATGCGAAATTTGAAGAGGTCTTTGAAAAGTTCGATATTGTACAACTTAAAACCAAAGATTATACCAAAGAAAAAGATACAGCTTTGAAAATAACCTTTGATCTGCATCTGCACAACGAGGGCTTCAAAAAGAGTTCCCCAAAAGCTCCAAACTTCAATGTAATCATCCTCCCTTCGCAGTCGGCGTTTCCCACCCACGTCGAGATCGCCCAGATTCAAAATCATCACACCGCACCATTGCTCGTCATATCCGTTAGCGAATCCAAACAGATACAGGCCTTTCTGTACTATATTAGTTGATGATTGCCCATACTGCGGATGTGCCACCTCAATAAATTGTACGTGTTAATATATCTAAAGCTCCACAAAATGTATTTTGTTTACCAGACATTGTTTATAGAGAATGCCGACAATAGAGCGTTCGATAGAACAAGCAAATATTGTCAAAACAATCGAAATCTTACAAAAATAGGTTTTTATTTATATGTTTAGGATTTGTTTTGGCTAAATTTGTGTTCAACTATGGTAAGCTGATATCCACTGGCTGCCCTTAATCTAATGCAAATGTGTTACAGGATGCTCCAATGGTTTGGATGATGGGCGGACCGGGCAGCGGCAAAGGAACTCAGTCCCAGAAAATTGAAAACAAGTATGGATTCAAGCATATTGATCCCATCGCATTGATTGAACAAGAGGTAAAATAAACAAAGAAATGTTTATATTAATTAAATATTAAGTCAAAGTTCTTCACAGATAGCAGCAAAGAGCGCAAATGGTGTAAAATTCGAGGAATGTCAATCGAAGGGAGAACCAGTACCCCTAAGAGATATTGTACCTCTGATCGAGCACCAATTGATGAGTCATCGCGGTGGACTAAAGGGATTCGTCATTGATGGGTAAGGCAGCAACCCATTGCTGAGATTCAAAATAACCAATTGATATTTATTTTCAGTTACCCTGCTGATTTGGAGGAGGCTGAAATTTTGGAGGATGGTTTCGGATCGCCCACTATGATCATTGCTTTGGAGTTGGCCGCAGAAGCCGGAAGTCAACGTACTTCCCTTGCATCTGGGGCCCAAGCACGTCCAAGTTTGTCCGTTTATATAGATTCTTCCAAAGCGGTGATGGAAAGATACGCTCAAATCACTCTGAAAATTGATGCCGACCGACAGCCCGAAAGTGTGTTTGAGGAAATCCAGCTTAATATGGATTCATTGATTAAACGCCAGGATCGAGTGACATTAACTCGTTAAAATCGGATATTCAGGGTAAATTACAAATTAGATAATATTAAGATTGGCCAATTCAAAATTGTAATTATTTTCCATTTAATTATTTTCCTTTGAATTTTTTCTAAAATATTTCTAAATCCGTAACAGTCATAATTTAAATTATAACCATTTCTTTTTGATCATATGATAAGAAATAATATTTTTTTAAACTAAATTGCTGACAAATCTTATATTTATCTTAAGAATAGGATTTTAAGGGCACAGAAGTCTGCATCGCTACCACCCTAGATATAATAATCAAAATTTGAATTGAAAAAGTTCGGGTTATAAGTGGAACGGGCCAAAACAAAAGCACTGGCCGTCGGAAAGCTTCGCAGGAAAGCTCGCGTGAGCGTCTGTCTACGCGCAGTGAAACCGTTAGCCGAATCGGATTGGATCGAATCGAATCGCAGCGAAACTACATTCAGTCACTCGCAACACACGCAGCACAGAGGGTGGTGGAAAATCGGAAAGTCTGAAAGTCGGGCGGCGCAATCGAATCGAACTGGCAAAGGAGGAAGGCTAGAAGGCATCCGGCTACCAAACTACCGAAAATCTCGCGATTTCTTCAGCCAAAGGCCCGCAGCAGCAGCGACGTGTAGTATATCTAGTATACATCATCATCATGGTGAGTGTTTTTTTTTTTTTTTTTTTTGTGCGGGTGGCGCTGCTGTGATTTGTGTTTTCGTTTCTGCCTATTGCCCAATTTATTTTTATTTGTTTGTAACCTACACGGGAAAAGTTTCGCACTTTGATTTAAAACCCCGATGAGGGCACAGTGAAGTTCTTAAGCACTCAGCTCGACCTTGAGCCACTTGCATTGCACTTGACCTTGCCCGGGGGATGCAATCGAGAAACTTTCGGGGGGCGGGGGCCATAGCTTACGGGCTCAGCTTTTTGAGTCGAGAAATGGGGGGAATGAGAAATGAGAATTCCCCGTCAGCTGTTCGTTGTTTACTGCTCCGGTATAAATAGAGCCTCTCCTAATTTCAATGCTTACGAATCTGTGAAATTCCCCCAAAAACCGCACAAAAGCCACAAACAACCAAACAAATTAGCAACTCAACGAAGCAAACAAAAATAAAAACGAAATTTCACATTCCAAGCCCCCAGTCGAATTTTGACGTCAAAATCCCGATTTGAATAAATTTACGACCAGTTGCCCGCTACACAGGAATTTCTGGCGGGGCTTTATTCATTAGTCGCCAAAAAAAAAAGGCAGTTAAAATGTGTTTATTGGCGCTACTCGAACTAGACAGTCATGCCGGTTTTAGCCTTAGTCGCGTCGCTGTATTAAATTGTCAAAACAAAGAGACACAAACAAAAAATAGCAAGATCAAGAGCTGGCTTCCATAAAAATTCCTCCGAGTTAGCTGGACAGTTTTCGAGTTCCGTTTGAGCAGAAAGCATGTGAGAAGTTCTCGCCATAATGCTATAATTAAATTGATCCATTTGGGAACCTCAACAACTGGTAAACTATCACGTAAAGGTTAGTTTTTTGAATTATTAACCACGGGCAATCCTTGGAAATGACATTGAAAAGTCACTGAACTACTTTATATACACATCAAGAAATTACGTAAATGAGCCTAAAAATCATAAATTCTCACACGCAACAATTTTAATGCGTCGAAATGTGCTAAGAGAAAAGCAAACTAAAAACAACGTCAGAGAAAATGAAAAGCCCCGAATTTATGCTCTAAGGAAAACGCAAAGGTGCCAACAAATAACCTGGGCATTATCAAGATGTTCAAAATCGTTCATTTTCTAGTTTCTATTTTTTTGCACCCAAAACTTTCGATGAGTGCGACAATGCGGAACACAGGCTGATATCGGCGGGGGCCTCGGATACTATATAAAAAGCTGATCTGCAGAACCCAGCACACACACGCTATATGGGGGCGCTTCAATTGTTTACAGTAATTGGGATTTTTTGATGAAATCATACCATTAACGAAACGATTTGTGCGAATGGAGACGAGGTGCCAATTGCTTTGAATTGCCCCAAATATCAATGATGTGTGTTACGCAGTGGCTTCTGTTCAAGATCAATGTCATGGGCCCATGTAATATTTATAGTCAATATATATACCTTTTTTTTCCTTTGTACGACTGTGTAGCGTGTCGGCAAACATTGAGGTTTATTTGCTGCTGGCAGAGTGCCCAAATTACTAATAAACACATATTAGCAAAGCCAAAAACATCTCAGATGTGTAGTTCAATAACACTATAACTTTGTGATATCTAACCAACCCCACCAACTGTCTCGATTGTGTAGTTATTTATGTGTCACCAAAGGGCCATGAAGAAGGAGGCCGAGGATAAGCTCAAAGCCGAGGAGAAGCTCAGAGCCGAAGAGCTACGTAGGGCGAGAGCCGCTGTAAGTAGCCCCTCCGGATTCCAAATCGATGGGCACTATATATGTATCCACTATATAGGATTACTTGATGTATGTGGCATGTTCTGTCTGGCCGCCGCTTCACCACAAAAAGTTTTTAGACCCGAAAAGAACCCTTTCTTTCTTTGAAAACCAACCCAATCCAACCCTAACCCAACTAAGCTTGCGTACAAAAGTGAACCACTAATCAAGCTAAAATTTTAGATGTTTCCCCGCTTCGGTGTTGTGAGCCTGCTAACCCCGTCTCTGTCTTTACAGTCTGAAATCCCCATTATCTGGATCTTGGGTGGACCCGGCTGCGGCAAGGGCACTCAGTGCGCCAAAATTGTGGAAAAATACGGATTCACACATCTGAGCAGCGGTGATTTGCTGCGCAATGAGGTAATTTGGCCAGAAATACTGGAATAGTTCCGCTATCTGTTTGCAGATGTGGCAGAATATGATTGTTTTTGTCTTGGTAATCGTTTTCGAACTTAAAGAGCATTGATTTTATACCGTATACCAAATCTATCTTTTATTTATTCTAAACATCCTTATTTAAAATAATATTAACTGCAAATTACTATTGTACAAGACCTTATATGTGCAAGAAGCTATTAAGATAATGCAACATTTTCTAGATCCATATCCATCTGTTTTTTATTGAAATCATCCATACTTAAAATTTCTAATAATTTCAAATTACTCTTATTCTATAAGAGTACTTCTGGGCAGGAAGATATAAAGATAATGAAACGTTTGCAATTATTTAACGTTCGGACATTCTAAATTGTAGTTCAAAAATGTTTCTGTTCCTAATCACTCTAATTTCTGATATCAGTATTAAGAATCACTACATCTTGTTTAATAAAAGAGTTTATCTTTTAATCCACGCTTTCGTTATTCATTTTATTGATTTAGCGCAATACTAATACTCCTCTATTTTACAGGTGGCCTCTGGATCGGACAAGGGTCGTGCCCTGCAGGCGATAATGACCACCGGTGGCTTGGTGTCCAACGATGAGGTGCTGTCGCTCCTCAACGACGCCATCGTGCGGGCCAAGGGAAGCTCGAAGGGCTTCCTCATCGACGGCTATCCGCGTGAGAAGGGCCAGGGCGTTGAGTTCGAGAAGCGCGTTGCTCCCGCCGATCTGGCACTGTACTTCGATTGCTCCGAGGACACGATGGTGCAGCGAATTCTGGCACGTGCCGCTGCATCGGCTGTGAAGCGGGAGGATGATAACGAGAAGACCATTAGGGCTCGCCTGCAGACCTTCAAGCAGAACACCAACGCCATCCTGGAACTCTATGACGCCAAGACCCTGACGGTAAGCATTTCGAAAAGGTAACCCCCGATTCAATTAACGTCTTTACCTTAAACGCAGATCAATGCCGAGCGTGACGTGGACGATATCTTTCTGGAAGTCGTCCAGGCCATTGACTGTGTGCTGAAGAAGAAGCAGCAGAATGCCGCCGCCCAGTGCTAGTGAAATGCGAATCCATTAGAAGGAAACCGGTACCAAAGTTAGCGACGCAAGCAACATTTTTAATGCACTTTTTAGCGCGAATCCCACAATCTCAAAGCTGAGCACAAATGAAAGCGAAACACCAAATAAATTAGTCTAAATCTATATTATGTTACCACATTTAATGGCATTATCCTTCAATCGTCCAAGCGAGCAATAATTGATATAGTGCTTTAAATAAATTTACACATTGAAATGGAATCCGATGAGTTTGTAAGATATTGATGTACTTAGAGATGCATCGTAAAATGCTGATAATTAATTGAATAATTCTATAAGATGCTAATAAAGGCTAAGCACGATTTAGGGCCAATTATTCATAAACTAATTGAAAGATCCAAGGGCGCGTGTGCTTGAAAGGAAAACATTCGAAAACATTCGCCTTGAAGGCGGCTGCGAGAGCCACGTGATTTATTATCGAAAACTACAAGTTCATTTCGTTCACTGAACCAGTTTGCTATCAGCATTTAAATGTTGTGGGAGTGAAGTAGAACAGATTTAGCCTCGCAACTAAATACCTTGCTAAATATCTCATTTACATGGATTTTTCGCAATCAATTAAAAAATATTGCGTGCTTTTTGTGGAGCTGCATCGAATCATTTACTTTTTTACGTTTAAATATCGAAGAAGACTTGAACTATATAAGAATTTTATTGAGGAACTTTCGAAATTCTGTGAATTTATCTCTGCTACACATTAACAAGTTGCACCCGATAAACTGCCCCGGTCGCCATAAATTATATGGCTTTGCTAGAGCGAGTTTAAATTAGAGCGAGTCATCGGGTTAATTGATCGACTGCCTCGAGAGTTTGAAATCCGTCGGGGAATTGTTTCTGAGCCCAGTTAAATCAGAAGTATTTCGGGCCATTAAAGATGATATCGATTTTGATAAATATGCCATCGAAAGAATCTTCTAACCAAAGAGTGCGTCATGAACTTCAGTTTGAAAGCAAAATAGATCTGACACAATTCGAATAACAAAGGCCGAAAGAAAATCTTGTCAGTTTCGGACTCCTCTCCAAACTGAAACTGGTAGAAATAGAATCGTCCATCCATCACGGAACTAGATACCAAGTGGGACAGACGAGCGTCATCCCCTTCGAACTGGAGTGGGTTCAAGTTCTTAAAGACCGCGTCGAGTGTAAAGTCAACACACAGAAATATTATGTAAAATAAGTGGTTTTCGAAAGATGCCCAATAATTGTGCGGTTCGTAAATTATGTAAAACGCACGGGGGCAAAGGAAAACAAAAAATGTGGATAGAAAACGAAACAGTTAAACGCCAAGAAATTATCACTTGGCGACGTAAAAGTTTTTATCGGGCGATTATCGCCGCTCGAGATCAGATCCCCAAAATGCGGGAATTCCAATTCCACAAAAATCAGCATGACTAAACAGTCAAGACAGAAAAGCCGAAGCAGGTTTTTGTGTGCTATTATTATTGTTATTGTAATTTTTGTTTTTATTTTTTTTTCATATACAATTTCTTTATATTTTTGCATCATTTGTTGCTTTCTTTTTGTTTGCGGCTTGATTTTTATCTCTTTTCGCGCTGCCGCTGTTACTCTTACAACTAAAATAAATATAGATGTTTTAAATAGTTAAAGCTAAAAACAATGTACAGATTTCAATGAGAGATATATCACAAGATTGGAGAATTTCTTTTGAACATAAAGCTATAAAGATTCAGTCAGTGGTGGTGGGGATGAGCTCGCTCGTCGAGGACCCATCCTAAATGAGATTGTTATCACTGTACTGATGATGATGGGGTCGCTGGTACTGCTGATGTGGGGCGTTATGGCCGCCAATCTTGCTCTCGATCCAGTCCAGGTAGTGCGTTACCCGGGTGAATCCTCCGGGAATATTGGTCTCACAGCCATCGGCGGGTCCGAAACTGGTAATGCCCACCACAATCTGGGTGTCCTTGAGGACCAGAGGTCCACCCGAATCGCCGGTGCACACTGTCTCGTCCTTCAGACCCTTGGCACAGATCACGCCCGCCGTGACCACATCGTACTCCTGGGCACACTCCCCATTCGAGATCACCTGCAGTTCGGTGTACTGCATCGAATCCGAGTTGGTCATCTCCACCATGGCGCCCCACCCACTGGCCACCACACTCATCCCAGCGAACTGATCCTGGCGATATCTGCTGGGCAGCGCGGCAGGCTGGATGCGCGAGGTGAATCCAATGTCCTGCGGCAACTTGACCAGGGCAATATCATTGGCCGCCGTCTCCGGATTGAAACGCTCGTGGACAATGAACTTGTTCGATCGCAGGACCAAACCGCCCGACTGCTCCGTATCCTCCACGCTCTTGGTGCCCAGATACACGTCATAGTGGGTCACTCCCATGGTGCAATGGCCGGCGGTGAGGATCCAGCGGCGATCCAGCAGAGTTCCGCCGCACAGGATGCGTTTGCGCCACAGCTGCTTGCCGATGAGCATCACCTGGTAGGGGAACTTCTCGATCCGCCCGAACTTTGCGTGTCCCAAAGCGTAGCCTTCCGTGGATGTGGGTTCCCAAATCAGCAGTAAAATCATTCCCAATCCCAGCAGGTGGGCCATTCTGTTGTTGATAATCATTTTGAATTTATTTACTGCACTTGTTGTCACTGATCTTTTTCTCGTTTTTGCAAATCTTTGGGGATTTTTGTATTTGTTTTTTAACGTTTCTTTTTCAGAGTTCTGCGCGCTTTGAGTGTTCGCTTCAATCTAAATCCATTCTGATGGGGCCGTGATATTTTATACCTCGTCGCTCGCGCTCAACCAAAATATTTCGCCGGCTATCTCAGGCTGAGAGTGAGCCCAGCTCAGGTTGAATTCTCCGCTCATCTTGGCAGATCGGCAGATCGGCAGACTCTTCTCCGGTAGCCTGTTGTTATGACAGCAAACAAGTCGTAAAATCTCGTTTATAACGCTCAGATAGTCGGCCGATTTTCATTTTGCGCGCGTAGCCAGGCAAAGTTCAAAATTTTTCAATGGGAAACGGAAGTGGAATTGGGTTATTTTGATTGCGTCTATTCCCGAAATATCATATTTCGGGCCTCGATGATTTCAACACTCTCGCGAGAGGCGGAGGATGATTCCACGAATTTGTATTTGCTCAAATTTCATAATTTGGCAAGAGAAAATCGAGATACTAGTTGGCGGGGCAATAGACAATAGAACAGGTATTCCAGATGGAGTTGGATGGAGCACCGCCCCATTGGGGTGACAAATACGATTTTAATTATGTATAAACTCTAGTGGAATTCTGATTAAAAGACTCGTTTTGTTTGTCGTTTTCCTTTGGCTTTATCAATTCAGACAGTTGGAAATGTTTCATTCAACTGAAAAAAAGATGGAATATTTTTTTGAAAGTTGCTTTTGCGCATCTCCACTGGCATTTTCGTGATCCGTAAACAACGGGGGGACTCCGAATTTTTTCTCTGATTCAGTGGCGCCATAAGAATTCGTCTCCAATAAGTTATTCATTTACGCCTCAAAGTCCAAAAATGTTGCTAATTCCAAGCAAAACTTTCGGCCAAATTTCGGGAGAACGGCGATGAATCAAGTTTGACGATTGTTTTTTATAAACATATTAATATGTAGATTGCGCTCCAGATCAAAATCACAACAATGCTGACTCAATCAATGTTATTGTTCTACTGTTTTCTTTTTCCCTCGATTTTCCTGTTTTCTTTTCGATCTGCGCAGAAATTCCAAAAAACCAAATCAAAACAATCAATCGAAATGGAAGTTAATTTGCTTGGCGCCAGCCTGTTGCGTTGTTAATGAAAACAACGGAGATTGGCGATCGCCTTCATTTTATTTACTTAATTAGCAGCCGAATTGTAAAAACACCCAGCAAATGGCTTTGTTTTTAACACGGATTCCAGTACGTCAATGATATGTTAATCCTAAGGCGGGGAAAAGGAGTAATGCTAAGTGATCCAGGCGAATACACGTGCCTCTTCATCGAATAGAGCATCCCGAAATCGGAGCTCTGAAAATCCCCTATAAGCTTAATGTTTGCATTACTCATTTGCAGGTTCAAGTTTATAAATATACAAACAGTAATAAAATTAATTGGGCACAAAGGTGCGAAACACTTGCTACGCCAGAGTTACGGGATTCCTGGATTTTGGGATTGATATCCCTTGAGAAACAGCACGTGTAGGACATATAACTACAACTTCCCGTTCTGGGAGGTGTCTTTTATTGATGGACAGGCTAATCTTCCAATTAGTTTTCAGCACATCGTCAAAGTTTATAGAACAGGTTCGGGGGACCAAATAAAACTTTACTTTCTTGCCTTTTCGGGCCAATTTGAGTTTTAGTGCCGCCGACTGAATGCATATTTCATTTTTCGCCGAATGCTTTGAATAAATTACCCCGAAGAACCGGCGAGATTTATTCGACAATTAAAATTTAAATTACGCGACCGGGAATCCGAGATGTAAATTGATGCAAATGAGGGCCCGGGAACACCCAAAAAAAAGAAGAAAGAGCGTTGTTTTTCGACCGCAAAAGTTCAGCGGCTCTCGTCTGTGGCGCCAGAAATGTTGCTTACCTTGCCCGAGAAAGTAGCTGACCTTGACGGAATTCGGAATTGCAGATCCGAATCGGAATCGAAATCGGAGAGATATCAGCTAGAAAGCTGGATCCGAATCGGTTCGAACTGACGTCTAATTAGGCGCATGTAGAGTGCATTGACCAAGATTTTGGCGTCGGCGTATCGGCGAAATGGGCACATCAAATCGGCCATTGACGTCAGCTAACGCTAACACCATTTGTTTCAGAGATCCGATCCGAAATCAGAAATCCGAAATTCGAAATTAATTAATGTGCCGGCCGAATGAGCTTTTAATATGCAACGGCGTAGAACCAGTAGTCGCCATACCACTTTTCGCCAGGCAGTAAAAGTTCCACTCCCGAGTTCCCGAGGGCTCGATCTGAAAATGTTTCTCGGCCAGCGACTTGGACAAACTAGATCCGGTTGGACCTCATTTTATGCCAAAGTGAAGACAAGACCGAGTTGGAGATTTGGATGGAGAACCCCGCGATACAGCAAACAATAAACAAAAAAGAAAGAAGAAAGAGCCGCTTAGAAGAAATTTATAGCGCTTGGGGATTTCCCAAAAATAACCGAATACTGGGCCACAAAAACAAACTCCCATGACGCTGTGTAGCAAACAAAATTTGCTGAAATTCATCAAAAGCATTTATCATTAGTCGGTAGAGAAAGATGATCGCTTGATCGCTTGATAGCCGTTAGCCAAATGTAAAGAAACTTTTTGGCGCCAGTTACCCAGACTAATGCGATATATTATCTTTGAAATAGCCATTATAAACTAGTTCCCGTCTGCAGTTCCGACAACACTGGAATTCCCGAAAAACACGTGCGAAATGCCAAATTCGAATGGTCCAATAAAAACCTAAGAAAGTCGTCAAAACAAATCGTCTTGGAATCTCGATTCGAATTGGCATAATACGTCAAGTTGTCAAATTAAATTTGCATGCCATTAATATGCTGCCAAATGAAGCGCAGCTGAAGTCGCTTATAAAACTTGATATGTTTTGCCCACAGATAAGGAATTGATTAAGCCGGAAAACCGCCTTCCAAACCCGTAATGAAATACAAAGCTCACGCCCAAAGAGAAGTTCTGGGGTTTAATGGGAATCGGGGAATTTTCGATATTCGGAATTTATGCGCTGGGCCGGACTATGTGAATTATGCTGCGACAGATCGAACAGCTTAGTGGCGCCGAAATAATTAATTATAAATCGACTGTCTCGACATTAATAAGCCATCGGAATTTGCATATAAATTAGAACGATTAGAACGGTCGAGAACAACAGCCTTTAAAATGTGTATCAACAACGCAAACAATAGAATAAAAGTTAGGATGATACGTGACTTCTGTATTATACCTAACATTTAATTTCAGAATAGAACTGATAAGAGTATTTAACTGAAGATGCGGCAATTTAAACATTAAATTCCAATTTATTGTCAATTTGTTCAAGGATTAATGTCTTGAAAAGCTTTTAAGAACGAAATTAATTATCTCTATCTATATTAAATTCTCTTTTTCTGTTTCTAAAAACGGTAAGAAGACAAAGAAATATTTGTTTGTAGCGTTGATCTAGAGATTGGAAAATTAAGATTGTAATTTGTATTTCTCAATCAGCATTGATAAACACACAACATCGTAGAATTTATTTGGTAAATAAAAGCTCGGGCAAATTATGCTTTGTTTGATTGGTAAACAACGGAAACCTGATGTTCATAGCCATTTAATTTGAAGCTGTCTATTATTGTTTTCCAATCATAAGTTAAGTGGGCAATCTCCATTCGTTTATAAGCAAACATGAACATGAGCACGCTCTCCAAACTCAAAGAGCGCTTCAAAATTGACGTCATATCGAAGACTTTTCCACAACTTGATGATTCACTCTCGATTCCAATCCAATTTACCTAGTCGATTTGAAACGTCATGGTGGGTTTACAAATTCATATTTTTAGGCGATTAGTCAACTAATAATTTCGACAGTCTGAAAGGTCTCAGACTTTCTTAAAGGTATTCTCTCACTGTGACAATGCAAATAAATATCGGCTTAGCGGAATGCCATCGAACTTTATGTCTGATTAAAACAGAAATTCCGATTTTAGGCCGCATAAGGCAATCCAGCTCTCAATTAATGAAATTAATCGTAAATAAACATTTACGGTAAGTACCCTTACTTCAGAATGCATCTGTCATTCGATAATTCAAGGCACACACATGGCGAATAACATTATTTATATGGAATGCAAATTGCGATCGCCAGCGAGCGATTTTGTTCGTATAATTACAATTACAATTTGGTGTATTTCCTCAAAATCAAACAAATTGAGAATGATTAAAAACAGGTTCTTCAAAATAAATTCAAATAAACATTACGTTGTCTAACGGTTTAACGTTAGCTACGTAACAGTGCGTACACTACGTAAGTGTGACCTTTGGCGGGCTTGGTATGTTTATGATTTGACGCAGTATATTTTGGTATATTACGTAGAAACGGTCTTACTAAATAAACCGGCGTAAACAAAGCGATTGAAATTGGTTAAGTTAATTAAATTTAATAAAAAGGATGAAGCAAAAGGATCTGAAGCGTGCCTATAATAATGTCCTGGCGCAGGCTATATCCACCTCGCACCAGCACCTCTTTGCAGGCAATCTGTTTGGTGATATCTTCGTGCTCAGGTGAGGATCCAAAAATTGGCGCGATTTCTTAATTATTTATTACTATTTTTACAGGATTAAGGAACTGGACAAAGGTTCCGAGGAGCCGCCTGGCAAACTGCAGATCTTCCCGCAGGGCGGCGATGTGGACATCAATTACCTGGCCTTCCATCGCGATTTCCTGATAGTCGGTGCAGTGGGTCTGATTTACGGATTGCAATGGAACGAGGAGGAGGAATCGCTGGCCACCAAACGCTCCTGGGAGGTGAAAATACCCATGCAGGTGGATGCCGTCGAGGTGCCGGATGTGAACTCCATGTGGCTGGACTCGGAAAACAGCCTCCTGTTCGCCGGCTGCGGCGATGGAGTGATCTACCAAGTGAGCTTGGAGGATGGACGCGTCCAGCGGGAGTACCGTGGTCACACGGACTATGTGCACAGTGTGGTGGGCAATTCCAAAGGACAGATCTTCTCCGGCGCCGAGGATGGCACCGTGCGCGTGTGGAGCACCAAGCAGCAGGAGCAAACTGCAATGCTGGAGCCGCACAAGAACCCCAAGCTTTTGCGACCGGATTGGGGCAAATGGATAGGAGCAGTGGCCGTGAACGAGGATTGGCTGCTCTGCGGCGGTGGACCCAAGGCCGCCCTTTACCATCTGCGATCCCTGGAATGCACCCGCGTCTTTGACTTTCCGGGTCGCGTGCATCTGTGCGATTTTGTGGACGACTGCGTCCTCATCGGCGGAGAGCACAATCATGTGCAGTCCTACACTTTAAGCGGAGCCCTGCAGGCCAATATTCCCGTGGAGCACACAGCCTGCTACTCCGCCGTTTGGCAAACATCGCCCATTAAACTCATGTCCATTGCTGGCTTCAGCAACAAGCTGCACATCCTCAAGGACTTTCGCTTCCTAGACAGCAAGATTGATCTGTACGGCAATGTGCAGGGGGATGAAAACGATCCGGAGGAGGACGAGGAACTGATCGAGGAACCCCTGACAATTGAAGCGGCCTGAAGGTTTAATAAATCTTTTCTTAACTTGCAATCTTTTTGGATTATGTATATTTATTTCCAAACTAAAATGTTATATTCTTTAGGGAAACTAATATAATTGCTCATTCTTACAACCGCTTTGTGTTATTCGCAGCACTTGATATTGTTTGCTGTCCAAATTATTCTGGAAATCGCACTCGCCAAATTTCAAAGTTCCCCTATCGTCAAGTGCAAAATCCTCCAGCATCTTTATGAAGTTTCTTGATATAACTTCTTCATCTGGTCGAATGTCTTTTCGTAGTGTACCAACGTTAAAGATCAAGAAAAAGTCATCTCCATGGACGGTACCTTTAAAAAGTAAAACTTTAGGACTTGTAATTATTGCAATGGAAGTTTATACGAACCAAAATAGACATCAGTGCGATTGGAGAGCACCTGACCCACTCCGGAATCAGAAGGATTATCGTAGACAAACGAGTAGACAGGACTTTTGCCATATTTTCGATGAAGATCAAAGGAAATTGGTACGCTATTTTTAAAAAGAATATCGGTAAACATCCGCTGCAAGTCCCAATAGCTCTCCACACAAAATCGCCGATCTCCTAAGTACTGCTGTCTGAGGATTTTAGATAACTCATCCATATCCCTAATGGTTTCCTTGGAGTTGCGGTAGAAGAGCAAGTAAGGAGCCCAGTCAAACCACCGATCATTGAGTTTATCAATCCAGGTTTCACCGGTTGTTTTATTCTTCTCCAACAGTTGAGCAGCGTTATAGCCTCCATCCTCAGTGGTGTATGTTACAACCCAAGGAACTTGTGCGAATCTGCCGCTTTTAATCACATCCCTTGGATCCTGAGTGAGAAATGCATCTGGAGCATCTGCAGGCTCAATCACAGGACCAAATACAGAAAAGGGAACGTATGAGAAGACGAGGAAGCTTCGAACGGCGGTAACTATTTCACTGGCCGCCTTGGATTTTAAACAGCGTTTAAGTTCCGCCGAATCGTTGGCCTGTCCACAGCCCACTATCCGACCCAGCTCAAAGGCACGACCTCGTCCGCCCGGCTGGACAACCCAGGGATCCAGGGCATTACCGCTCACCGATATGGCTGCCCTGGCCAACTGGCTAAAATCCTCGTGCAGGAGTTGTAAATGAGCCGATGCTCCGCCTGCAGAGTGACCAATGACTACAATATTATCCGGCATACCACCAAAATTGGCAATGTTCTTCTTGATCCATCGTAGTGCCAGTCGTTGATCCTTCAGTCCATAGTTTCCTGGCAAATCCCTATCACCGCTGCTCGCGAAACCCAAGGGTCCAAGGCGATAGCTTATTTTTACCACAAGCAAAGTTCCTTCGCGCATAAGGTAATCATGTCCATATAATGCTGTCCCACCGAACATGAAGGCACCACCATGGAGCAGGACCACAACAGGAAAGCTAGTCCGACTTTGGTTCTTGGGCTTGTATATGTTTACGGTTAAGCAATCCTCATTCCCCACCAGCCTACTGCCTTCCTCCCTGAACTGGTTCCACTGCAAACAGAATACTGGTGGCTGAGTGGCGTTAAAAATTTCCACCCACTGATGACTATACGGCTTAGGAGCCTCAAATCGTAGTTCCCCTACTGGAGGTTCGGCATAGGGAATCGATTCGTAGCTGATGTAGTGACCATTATCCCTGCCACGGAGTTTTCCATTAGGGATCTCAACAACCAAGGGGTCTGCTCCAGTACCTGAGAAGGCTATCAGCAGCAAAATTAGGCACTTCAACCATTTGAATAAATACATGCTGCGATATTCAACAAAGTATTATTGAAACTGCGAACAAACAAAGGTTGCCCCGATTCTTTATAGCCGCTAACAACGAGCCTTCCAAAAAATTAAACGCGTTTTGAGAATGCTATGTGAGTAAACGATGCCGAGCGGTCAGTTGTAAATTAGCAAATTATAAATATATACACTGATGGAACAAAAAATAGAAACACGATTGATTTTTTGAATTTTTTTCTCTAATGAAAACTTAATCCTAAAAACAAGAAATTATTTTTGTTTAATTAAAGAAACTTTTTTAAAAAATTAAAGAAATAGATGTTTCTTTTCTTTAGTAAAAAATTCAACAGAATCAAAGAGTTTACATTATTTTTTTCACAAGTGTCTTCAACTGTTTGTTTTATGTTAATCATTTTAATTTATGCTAATATTAATAGACTAGTGCGAGCTTGCCATCAGCATAAATTTCCTATAAACCATATTTTTCGTCTGGGGTCAGAAATTCGGTTTCAGAATAATTTAAAAGACTTTGGACTGAAAAACTGAACTTAAAAAGAGATCTGTAAAATCAATTACAATTTTATTTCATTCAATAACATTAGGGAAATTCTACAAATTTTTTATTCTCACATCCCTCCCTGTCTATGGATAATAAGTTGAATTTCTCACTTCCCACATTATCTTCAAAAACACATTCACCGTATTTCAAAATGCCATTCTCACTGAGAGAAAAGTCCGCTAGCATATTGATGAAATTTCTAGAAATGATTTCCTCATCCGGACGCAATTGGGGATCTCTTACAACGTTTTCGAATATCAAAAAGTAGTCGTCACCATGCACGGTTCCTAAAAGAAGGCTTCTAAATAAAGTCGATTCAGTAAGTAAATCATAACTTACCAAAATTAACATCCCTTCGACTGGTCAGCACCTGTGCAATTCCTCTATCGGCTGGATTATCATACACAAAGGCGTAGGCGGGACTCTTTCCATATTTCCGGTGAAGATCCAAAGAGTCCTGTGTGCTGTTCTTGAAAAGAATATCCGTGAACAGCTGCTGCAGTTCCCAATAGTTTCCGGTACTAAATCTCTGATTGCCTACGTAATCCTGCCGAATTTTCCGGGAGTAATCATCCATTTCTTTGATGGTCTTTTTGGAATCCCTGTAGAACAGTAAATATGGCGCCCAGTCGAACCAGCGATCGTTGAGTTCCTCAAGCACCGTCTTTCCAGATTTGTTCCAATCCTCCAAAAGCAAGGCGGCATTGTAGCCACCATCCTCTGTCACATAGGTCACTGCCCAGGGAACTTGTCCGAACTTTCCGCTCTCAATCACCTCACGGGGATCTTGGGTGAGGAAGGCGTCCTGAGCATCCGATGGCTCGATCACAGGACTAAATGGTGCAAAGGGCACATAGGAGAAGATGAGGAAGTTTCGTACGGCGGTAACCAATTCACTGGCCGTCTTGGATTTAAGGCACTTCTTGAGCACGGCCGAGTCCGCAGCCAGTCCACAACCCACAATGCGACCCAGTTCGAAGGCTCTGCCTCGAGCTCCCCCCTGAACAACCCAAGGATCCAGGGCATTTCCGCTAAACGAGATCGCCGCCTTGGCCAACTGGGCGAAATCTTCCCGCAGCAGCTGTAGATGCACCGAAGCTCCACCAGCAGAGTGACCAATAAGTAGAATATTCTCCGGCTCACCACCAAAACTGGCTATATTTTGCTTGATCCATTGCAGAGCCAGGCGTTGATCTTTCAGTCCATAGTTCCCCGGCAAATCCGAGTCACCGGTACTCGCGAAACCCAATGGCCCCAGGCGATAGCTTATCTTCACCAGTATGAATTTGCCCTCACGCATCACGTTCTCGTGTCCATTCTGCGATGCCGCCCCGAACATGAAGGCTCCTCCGTGAATGTGGGCCACCACCGGAAAGCTGCTCCTGCTGCTGTTCTTCGGCCTGTAGATGCTGACGGTCAGGCAGTCCTCCTCTCCGGCCAGCTTATTGTCTCCCTGGGTGAACTGATCCCACTGCAGGCACACCACCGGTGGCTGGGTGGCATCGTAGGTCTCGGACCACTTTTGTTTGTACGCCTTCGGAGCCTCGAATCGCAGCTCACCCGTGGGGGATTCGGCATAGGGAACCGACTCGTAGCTGTAGTAGTTCCCATTATCGCGACCACGCAGCTTCCCCTGTGGAAGCTCCACCAACAGCAGAGGGTCATCCGGATCACTGGCGAACGAATCACCGAGCCAAAGGCAGCTCAGCACAAAGATGAATCTCACGCAGTTCATGTTGCTCACTCCGGCGAGTTCAGACCGCAACTATCTTGAGTTGTGGAAGCGGCGGCCCCTTTTATTCGATCGGCCGGCTTATCGGCGCCCGGCCACCTGAACAACCAGTCTCAATTGGGATCTGAGCATGCTATGAGATTAGATTTCCAGTGCCAGGCTTTGATTTGGGCATAACTCTTGGGTGGACATCCATACGATAGCCGTGTACAAATTAGGATTGTTACATATTCACCCCCGTTTGCAGTCTATAATTTGATTTAGTTCATTTGATAGACATGCATCTCCAGCGAAATTGCCAATCCCACTTGAGGTGAGACATTTATTATGCAATCGCACTCCCAGTCAACTTGATTAATTACTCTATATGCATGTTGTGTTTTTGTTTATACATTTAAACAGATGGCTCTGATAATGCACTTTTAAACGAAACCGTTTGAAAGCCGAGCTAGGCATCTAATAGCGTTCTATTGGAGCTAGAAACCTCAAGAAAATATATATAAATAGGTATGATTCTATCAATAATTTAAAAAGATTATTAAATTAATTCATATACAAAGGACTTCTACGCTTAATTTTAAAATATTCTTAAGCTTCATTGAATTTACACAAGACACTATACAATATTCATTCGTCATAATAATTTTTGTAAAAGGATAGCAAACCTTTTTTATTGGGGAAGATAATTAATGATTGTTTTTGGAAGATCTGCCTTTATATTCTAGAACACATTGAGAGAAGTCAAAAATATTACAAGTTAAATGACTCAATTTAAACACATTTTTTGCGAGTATAGGGTATTTTGTATGTTCTTCTATTTTGGAACTTATGTATATTAAAAAAAATGCACTATCATTTAAGGAAAAATACAAATTTCTGATAAAAAATCATTAAGCAAAAAAAGAGCGGAAGGTATACTCAAAAAAATGTCTACTTTTGACAGATCGTTTTACAATGTTCGCAGCCCAAAAGTATGTTGATTTCTTTGCACAAGTAACGTATTAAAACAAGAGGGAGTCATTTTTTACCATAGCCGTATTTTTAAATATTACAAAATGCATAACCCAGATTTTTTAATCTGTGCGCGCATATTTTTAAAGATATTTTTGCAGTGTAAAATGTATATTATTATTTTTAAAGACCACCTTAAAAGTTGAAATAAATAAAAAACATTGATTTTAATATTTGTACATTGTTTTTATATGGGATTTACATAGGTATAAGGGGTTTACATGTATTACATTACGAGTATATGGTTGTCTAAGAAATAATAAGTAATCGTTTGGGAAATAAACGATTTTTGGTAAGTAAAGGTTTATAAGATTAGCACTCTCTCTTAAAATTCCAAGACTCCGGGGAGATATTTGTCGATCAGGGTCTGGTAATACGGCCACAAAGCATCAATATCCGGAACCACCTCGCTCTTCGTGTACAAATCGTAGCGACTGCAAGGAAGGATTATTATTGAACCGCAGATGGATTAGTTGTACAAATGAACTCACTTGAAGATCAGCACCCACTTCTTGGTCTCCGCGTCCTGGGGAGCCTCCAGGTGCTTGTAGTCACCGCCATTGTGCCAGGGGTAAAACGAATGGAATCGAATGATGTTGCAGGCCACATGAGGCAGCTTAGTTTTGTTGTGCTTCAGCACAGAATACATGTACTCGTCGTGACCCCAGGACATCAGCAGGTTGTCCACTCCACAATTGGGCTTGTAGATGCCCAACTCGGTGTTGTAGGCGGGATTATCCCCATCGGGATTGCCCTCGAAGCTCTCCTCGCGGTAAACGATGCTGTCGCCCCAACGGCAGCCCACGGCGAAGGTGTCGCCCACCACCGCCCACTGTGGCTCACCGTAGAAGGCCATGATCTTGCCCAGATCGTGAATAAGGGCCGTAAGATGCAGCCAGTCGTGCTCCGGAAACTCGGCACGTGCCCGCTCGGCCGCCTGAAAGGCGTGGATAATATTGGGCAGATCCAGGTCAGGATCTGATTCGTCCACCAGATCGTTTAGCTTCTCCAGAGCCTCGCGCACAGTCATCTTAATCGTGTTGAACTTCAGCCAGTGATCGCGACGACCTGGTACGGAAATGGATATTTATTAAGTCTAAACTCATCTAGGATCCCCTTTTTATATTTAGGTAATTTTCAATATTTTTCTAAACAGTTTACAAACGATATAACTGGTCTAAAACTGCCAGGAATTGTAGCTTTAAAAACTTCTTTAAATTGTTTTAGAATTTAAAACAATATTATTTTATTAATTTTTTTGTAAATAAATAAAGTTCAATAGTTTTAGAACTACACGAATCTAATATATTATTCTTCTATCCGTAATGGAATATTATTTTCCTTAGGATAATATTTGTTTTCACACTATTCACTAAGCTTTAAACTCACCCTTGACAAAGTCCACAGTTTGATTCAAGTGCATCTGACGATAGGTCTGTCGCACTCGTTCCTTCAACGGATCGGTGGTGTCCACACTATAGTCCCGGAATTTAGAGGGATTCTTGTCTGCAAATGTGGGCTCAGGTCGCATGAGCTCCGAAGGATCCAGAAGGTGGACATGGTTCTATCAATTAAATTCACAATAAGAAACCGTTTAAGACCTATCGGTTTAGATTTTTTTTACCTCCGCAAGGATTCTCATTTTGATAGAAAGTTTATATTAAGTTATACAAAAGAACTTGAAAATATTTTGGGTAGTAACCGCGCACTTGAACGAGCAAATCACTTTTGAATCGCTGGACGCTCAGAACTCACACTTTTATAGGCCGCCGACCATCGGAAATTCAACGGAATTCGCAATCACATTCCCATATAGTACACTCTCTTCTATTCCAAGTGTACTCGAAAATGATTTATAGTACGTTTGTTATTTTTCAAAACACGAGAGTCGCCTGCGTCGCTTCCCGTGCGGCCTCTCCCAATCGCTATCAATATTACGTCTGAAGCCCGGCTCAAATATTCTAACTACCATATAAGAGGGGACTCGAGCCTATTACATTCGGTTTTATTACGCCTTATCAGGAGCCTGGGACGCCTACACAACGGCAGCCCAACTTATCTGGAGCTGCATTACTTTTACCCTCCATAAATTCATATAACTGGAAGCTGCACTTGACTGATAACAACGAAAGGCTGGCAATAAAAAAAGAATCTGCTCTACATTTATCTGGACCAAGTCCAAGGCCACGGCATTGAGTTACGAGTCTGATTGTCAGGGTCGTTGCTCGAGGACTCTTGAATGTATTCCTTAAACTTATGGGAAACTCTTGATAAAAAAAAATCTACTAATGGGAAAACAATTCTTTATGGATTTTAAGATCGAATACAGTTAGTACAAAATATTCTAGGAATTCAATTTGTTAGTTCTAATTAGAATTGAATTATAATTTTTGTGGTTTGAGATCTACTCATCACCCAGTGAAATTTTAAATGCAATATTATAAAGAACTAAAGATCACAGTTCTATTTCCATTAAAATAATGTATCATTATTACACCATTACGCCATATTATATATTGATTGATGCTTATCTTAAAGAATTACAGTCTTGGCTAGAAATATAAATGATTTGGTTGCTTTTCTTATGTAGGTAACGTTCCTAACAGATTTTAGCGGATGCCCAAACTTCGGGCAATCAGTTTTCGCCTGGATCAAAAGTCACGCCTTAAGCCCCCCAAAAATTCCTCCCATAGATCTCGGGCTAACCTTGAACAACCGTCAGGAAGGCAGCTAGCCCATAAACAGAAGCCAACGCTCCAGATCCAGCGATCATCCGAACGCCTAAAAGTAGCAACAACGCCCCGCAATCTGGGTACACAGTCATCAAGCTGAAGCTTAATGTGCCATCAAGGGGGGGATTGCCTAAAGAAAAGTTATCAGTCGTCTACATGACGTCGATGCGATGCGATCCCATCCGATCCGGACACTCACACGCCGCAAGTGCGAACTACAAGTTGAGATTTCACACTGCCCACGAAGGGGCGGACTGATCGCTGGGACCTGGAACCTATACTTAGAAGTGAATGATGATCTATATAGAACTGGGCCGGAGGGGCTTGTTCCAAGTTTCCCGAGGCGCAGTATCGCCGTTCGTCACCATCAGAGGTCAGTTTGTAACGATCGTTGTCAATAAACCTTATCACCTATTAGGGGAGCGTTTCGCACAGAGTAGGAATATTGGGGAAGCTGGGGCGGCAATGGAAAAGTTTCATAATATTTCTATCTCACGACGGGGCTGGTGTCATCAATTAAGTCAGAACGTGCCGGCGATTGCAATCGCAATAAATATTATTTATAGTATGGCTATATTCTATTTTTGATTTGTATCTAGATATGATATGATATGATATTTTATATTCTAATTTCCCGCAGTCTTACTTCCAAGTTTGCCATGACTTCCAGTCTACTTGGTATATCAGGCAGATCCAGATCACATTAATAAACAACCATGATAAGCTCATTAAAAAGCCACAAATTATTCTATAATTAGGCAGGGGATCATACACAAAGTTCGAGGGGTCACAAGGACAAGGCTATTAAGCGAGGAGTCGAGCCAAATGACAAACAACAATGATCAATCCGTTTTCCAAACTACAGAGTCCTCTGCCTATAGCATCCTGGGCTAAAGAATCATCCCCTGTTTATGATTGCAGTTTGTTTTAGGATGGCCCCACAGTTCTTACTACGGCCTCAAGTAATTATCAATAAATCACGACGACTTTCGCCAGACGAACTCTTCGACTTGAATTCAAAAGTTGATATTTTGCTGATAGATTTGTGCACATGCTTGCAATAATTCATTCGGCTTCATCTGACAGTCGGGGTCGTTGGGTCATCAGCCGGCACAAGACTCCCAGCCGAATGTGATTACTATAATGCGTCAAATAAATCAAATTTACAAGCAATATTGCAAATGTCGGGATTTAGGTATAGAAATCTGTAGAAATATTATGTAATTTAATCTTAAAAATATCCAAAACCAAGAATTAAATACTTACATTAAGGGTGAAATATATTTCTATGGCTTGCCGAAAAGTATACTTCATTTAACTTGTTTCCCACAAGTTATGCGAAAGTTTATTTATCGCTGTGTGCATTTACACAATGTCATGAATTATAAATTTAAACAGCTACCAGCTAAATTTAAGAAACTCGGAAAATCAATAAATTTAACAATTACCCGGCAAGTGCTTTTAATGCTAAAGAAATAACTTTTAACTTAATTAAATGGTTACAATAATCTATTGTATGAAAACAAAACTAAAACTCGTCAAAGCTTTTGGGTTTTTATGAGAATGTTTAATCTACATTAATTAATTTTTTTTTAAAAACTTACTTATGCTTTATTAATCTCTTAGTAATTCCACAACACACACAAAATATAATTGCAGACAAAAACATATCATTACAGATACACGATTAACTACATGCCAAGCATTTAAAATTGCCAAGTGAGTTCCCATCGCACTCACAACTGAATGCGATTCGGTGGACAATCTCAGTACGAGGTGCTGCATAATTGATGAGTAAGGGTTTCGTGCCAGCGTTTGGTTGCCGTAGTTAAATGGGTGTCCTGCCGGTAGGACTGGTGTTTAAAAAAAACAAACAGAGACGGCGAACAAGAGCGGAAAATGTAAATTAGAGCGTTTAATTGGACGCCTAAGCGCATGCTAGGCATTTAACGATTTATCCCTAGTTTCCTCGCCGCTGAACTCTAATTAAAGCCACTGAAAAAAGAGGTCCTTAACAGCGTTATGAGGACAAATGTAGGGAGAAAGGCTCCCTGCAAATGGGGCACCCACAAGTAAGCCGCGTTTTCCCGATTAACAAACGGTACGCTATATCCTTCTTTCGAAACTTCTGTGTTTTTGTACAAGGTGCGACCGTTGAATGTCTGAATGGGTTGCAAAATTTTTTTCAGATGATCATCGTTGGCTGTCAGCAAGCGGAAAGAGTTTAGCTGGGGGACCAGAAAATATTAAATGAATTAATACTGAATTTAAATTAATTATATAATAAAATATTTACCTGCTTTTCCGTAATATAAATGCTATATATGAAATATATCCAGGTAACCTCCTCACCACAAGGTGGAATGGCTAGAGAACCTCTGAAGCTAATGTAAATTTCCTCATGGTTTGAAATGTATTCTGACAGAGGAAGTGGGTTGGTCATGTTCGCGGTTTTGCCTTTCCGATCAATCTGGGCGAACAAGTTCGTTAAGCCCTCATAACCCCGATCTGAAACGGAGCCAATCTACAAAAAACATATACATACGAGTATATACAATTTTAGATCCAACAATTTAAAAATCTCTCACCTGAAAGAGGAAGGCCATAACGGCAATGCCATTATCCTTGTCTAAAGCGCTAGCAAAGTCACGATATTCCAGATTCCGAAGTACCACATGGAGCTCAAATGGAGAAGCTTGGCTATAGAACAGATCATCACTGCCTATAGTATTGTTGTCGCCCCAGTAAAAGTGGAACTGCTCGAACTGGTAGCCCAAAGGAGCTTCCTCCGCCAAAGGACCTCCCCTCACAGTTGGCACTTTGTCCTTATCGAAAGTCATCTTCACCAGCACAGTGTGTCCATTATTCGACACTTGAAGAGTGCGAGGTGTGGTATTGAAATTAAGTAACTCCAGCTTGGGAAATTCTTTATCCACGGCATTGATTAAGTCGCTACTTGTGGGACTCTGGTGCTTCCCGCTGCAACTAGCATAATCGTTTAAAAGATCTTGGCCCCAGACCACCGAAGCTAAAATTTTAAATTAAGTACATACATATGTTATTTTCGATTTATTTCAGATTTCTGTAAAAATAAAATATTAATCAAATACAATATTTAAGCATGCTAACATAATAGGATTATGATCGGAATTTCATTAACAACTTTAAAATTAGTTATTGATCTTTTGCAATATCACATCTAATATATTTTGTACCTTTTCTTTCAGGAAAACAAACAGAGACAGTTAATCGAGCTCCTTAAGGTGCTAATTGAAATATAATGTTTGTGACTTTTCGTGACATCGAGTGGGTGTTTATTCAGTGATACCTGTTTAATCAAGCTATCTATTAGTTTTGCACATTTTATTAATGCAGTGTCGTCATTGGGAATCAGTTCAGCCAGTTTAAACATCAAGACACCTTTGATAGCTCAATTAGATATTATTAGAACGCTTAGGCTTATTTCAGTTTGGTGCATTTCTTTGAAGTATTTTCAGTTCTATGTAACGGTATTACCAAATGCTTTTGGGCTACCAAAAATTTGATCAAAATTATCTGTCATTAACAAGTTGATTAATTTTTGCCAAATTTAAGTTAATTACCGTATAATTAATATCAGCGTGTACACCGTTATTAAATAAAGCTTAACCTAATAAGATAAAGGAACAAGAAAGGAAGTTAACTTCTGCCAAAGCCGAATAGCTCACCACAAATCAAAATCGGGGCAATGACAATTGCAGTCGGGGTGTTGCGACACCTCCTCATGGTTTCACTTTGCCTCGGAGTCACTTTCGCGGAACACTTGCCTTATCTGGCTATCGGGGCACTGTCACCAGTTACCAGTCGCGACTAGTTGACGAACTATAACTATTTGAGGCAAGGAATAATCACCGCGGATTTCGCAGGTATTCCGAAAGTTTACTGCGGCTAGGACCTCGACGACACTGCAACTTATATCACCCAGTGAATGCTTCTGTCCCTTTGCTGGTAATCGAGTTGGTGCCCAGGGAAGCGATCTGCCCGATCCGTGCCATACTCAGGCTAATTGCTTTGCTGCAGGGGCACATTAAATGGCATTATTGTTGCATGCTAATCGCATTGTGCAGCTTGTTTGCTTTTCAATGCGTTTCGATTTCCCCTGACACCCAATAATTCTCATTTTGTTAGAACTGACAAACAGATTAAAACAATGCCATTTTAATAATTATATCACTGGAAATAATTAGGCGAGCCCTTCAGTACTAAACTTTTTTATGATTTTCAGCTTTTGGGATGGCAAATTAAGTCTTAAGTTTCACGTCCTTATAAATTAGACATCTGCATGAATAACAAAAAATACATATTCGAATTGACAATGTTCGAAATGAGTTGAATGAGTTGGAATGTGTAGGAAAACTGGCTTGAATAAATAAGTGTACTGACGTAAAACTCAGTCGAACCAGAAATGGTGATGGAAAACGAATCGAGTAAATGAGTACACGAACAACTCAGACGAATTTATTCGAATCCATTCGAGTTCTTACATGACGTCATAAGGGCAAAATGGAAAATTAAATTTGTTTTGAAATACTTACATAAATATTTGGCTTTTTGTCTTTTTTTAAAATTACAAATCTACCTTTAGTTTTAGCTCGCCACTGAATCCAACCATGCCATTTTCATATTTAAATCCTAAGAATTCGCGGACCAAGGAGGAGAAGTATAAAATAGTGTAGTGAAGAGGCAGAAAGGAATGGTCTTCCTTCTACCGCAAATCCTAAGAATTCGCGGACCAAGGAGGAGAAGTACAAAATAGTGTAGTGAAGAGGCAGAATGGAATGGTCTTCCTTGGACCGCAACTTCTTAAGAATTTATCTAACAAACTCCAGGATGACAATACTAAGAAGTCGCGGTCCAAGGAAGACCATTCCTTTCTTTATCTGTGGCGATAGAGGCAAATTTTTTGGTTCTGGGATATGTTCATAAAACTAATTGTTTTTCCATATTTTTTTTAATTCTCGTGGATTTTTGCATGTGTTTTGAGTTTAAACTAAGGGGAGCTTGGTAATTTCGAAAATAAGAAATCACAAAAATACTTATTTATAGACATACATATATGTATATCAAAACAAATTTAATTTTCTATTTTGCCCTTATGACGTCATATAAGAAAATCGAATGGATTCGAATAACTCGAATGATTTCAGCCTATTCAAATATGACATTCTGTTTTTCGTTATCACTCGTTTAACTCTAGGCCTTTTCTGTCATACTCTATACGGACCAAGATGCAATCCATTCTAGTCATAGTGTGCTGAGCATTTACTCAACTCTATTCTATTCGAATGGAATCATTTCAAAGCCTGTTTGATTCCAGTCATACAGATTCTGTATCAATTTCCTTTGGGGATCCCAAAAATCTGAATTTTTCTTGAAAATTAAAAATATAACTCTTTATCAAAAATGTTTCTGTTGTTCTTTTTATCAAAATTTTTTCATCTGGAGAGCTCACAAATATTTTATAGTAACTTACTTTTAAAATCTCTTCAGTCAAAATAATTTAGAGCTCAAAGCACGAATCCTCGTCGCAGAGCTCAAATTAAAAACCACTGAAAAAAGAGGTCCTTAACAGCGGTACGAGGACAAAATAAGGGAGAAAGGCTCCCTGCAAATGGGGCACCCACAAGTAAGCCGCGTTTGCCCGATTAACAAACGGTACGCTATATTTTCCTTCCGGATCTTCTTTGTTTTTGTACAAGGTGCGACCGTCGAATGTCTGGCTGGGGTGCAAATTTTTCTTCAGATGATCATCGTTTGCTGTCAGCAGGCGAAAAGACTTTAGCTAGGGGATACAAAATTAATTAATTAATTAATATTGAACTAAAATTAATATTATAATAAATTATTAACCTGCTTTTCCGTAATATAAATGGTATATATGAAATATATCCAGGTAACCTCCTCACCACAAGGTGGAATGGCTAAAGAATCTCTGAAGCTAAAGTAAATTTCCAAATGCTTTGAAATGTATTCTGCCAGAGGAAGTGGGTTGGTCATGTTCGCGGTTTTGCCTTTCCGATCAATCTGGGCGAACAAGTCCGTGAAGCCCTCATAACCACCAGTTGAAACGAAGCCAATCTTCAACAAAATATATACATATATGAAATTTTAGATCCAACATTTTAAAAATCTCTCACCTGAAAGAAGAAGGCCATAACGGCAATGCCGTGATCTTTATCTAGAGCGCTAGCAAAGTCAGGATATTTTAGATTCCGAAGTACCACATGGAGCTCGAATGGAGAAGCTTGGGTATAGATCACATCATCACTGACTATAGTATCGTTGTCGCCCCAGTGAAAGTGGAACTGCTCGAACTGGTAGCCCAAAGGAGCTTCCTCCGCCAAAGGACCTCCCCTCACAGTTGGCACTTTGTCCTCGTCGAAACTCATTTTTACCAGCACCGTGTGTCCATTATTCGACATTTGCAAAGCCTTGGGCGTGGTGTTGAAATTAAATAACTCCAGCTTGGGAAAGTCCTTTTCCACGGCATAGATCATGTCGGTAGCAGTGGGACTCTGGTGTTTCCCGCTGCAACTAGCATAATCGTTTACAAAATCCTGGGCCAAGACCCCCGAAGCTAAAATTATAAAATGCGTATGTTACTTTCGATTTTATTCTAATTTCGGGGAAACTCTATTAGGTAGGATTAGGACTAGGTACTTATAAAAGGGGTTTCATTAACAACTTCAAAATTAAGTATTGATCTTTTGCGATATCAAATCTGATATGCTTTTTACCTTTTCTTTCAGAAAAACAAACAGAGACAGTTAATCGAACTCTTTAAGGTGCTAATTGAAAGATAATGCTGGTGACATTTCATGACATCGAGTGGGTGTTTATTTAGTTATATCTGTTTAATCAAGCTATCTACTATTTTTGGTCATAGCGAAAGCTATAAATATGCGATATGTGTGTCCTACCAATTTTACACATTTCATTAATGTGGTGCTGTCGTCATTGCGAATCAGTTCAAGCATCAAGACACCCTTAATTGCTCAATCGGGTTTTATTGGAACTATTCTCAGTTCTCAGTTACGACATTATCACATGATCTCAAAAAAAATCTATTAAAATTTTTTCTCATTAACAAGTTGATTAATTTATGTTAACTTATATCAGCGAGTAGCACGTTTACTAGATTTTTAACAATTTAGTTTACACCGTTATTAAATAAAGCCTAACCTAATAAGATAAAGGAAAAAGGACAAAAATGTGATTGGAGAGAACATCATCGTTATGTATTTTTGTATCATACTACGGGCAGTTTTTAAAATATTTGCTGCAATTCGTTATAAAACCACTTTGCCGGCAAGAGATGATAGCATATAGGGCTCGTATCTTGGCTAAAGGCAAGACATCTTTGTGTTGCTATATGCTCACCGCATATCAAGATCGGGGCAATGACAATTGCAACCGAGGTGTTGGGACATCTCCTCATGATTTCACTTTGCTTCGGAGTCACTTTCCCGGAACACTTTCCTTATTTGGCTATCGGGGCGCTGTTACCAGTCGCGACTAATTTACGAACGTTAACTATTTGAGGCAAGGCACAAATACCACAGATTTCGTAGGTATTCCGATAGTCTACAGTTCCACTGTCCTATTTGCCGTGCTCGCCCGGGAACTGCGGTTAGGACCTCGACGACACTGCAACTTATATCACCCAGTGAATGCTTCTGTCCCTTTGCTGGTAATCGAGTTGGTTCCCAGGAGAGGCAAATTTTCTATCCACTCGAGTGCTGAAGAAGTGATCTGCCCGATCTGTAAGCTACTTAATGTGATTGCTTTGTTGTTTATCTTTGCATCACATGTCGCAGCCACAAATCGAAGTGAAATGTTAATGCACAGGGCACATTAAATGACATTATTGTTGCATGTTAATCGTATTGTGCAGCTTGTTTGCTTTTCACTGCGTTTCCATTTCCCCTGATACCTAATAATTCTCATTTTTTTTAAAACTGACAAGCAGATTAAAACAATTCCATTTCATTAATTATGTCACTGAAAATCATTGAGCGAGCCATTCAGTTTTAAACTCTTTTAAAATTTTCAGCTTTTGGGATGACTTTGGGGATCCAATAAATCTGAATTTTTCTTAGACATTAAAACCATTATATAACTCTTTATCAAAAATGTTTTTGTTGCCCTTTTTATCAAGATTTTCCCTTTGGGAGGTCTTACACCTATTTTTTTTATAGTTATTTTCTTTCAAAATAACTTAGAGCTCAAAGCACGAATCCACCCAATAATATTATCCCCCAATAATATTTCCAAAATAAATACCTACATTAACAAGTTTTTTATTACTACCCACTAATAAACCGACCCATGCTAAATTGCCCTTTAATAAGTCGTTAGTTATTCAGCAACACAAGCAAAAATAATTTAAAAGATACATTTAATTACATAAAAATGTTTACAAGTCTTAAATCTAAGGTACACGAATAATGCTTGTGCCAAGCATTTAAAATCACAATGTGCATTGCCAAGTGGGTTTCGGTTTCCCCCGCACTGACAACAGGCCTCTTTGGACGGATGCGATGCGGCGGACAATTTCAGTGCGAGGTGCTGCATAATTGATGAGTAAGGGTATCGTGACAGCCGAAGCTACGCCCATTCGGGTTTAATAATTTCGCCGTCCGCCCAGCCTTAGTTATATGGATGTCCTGCCGGCAGGATAGTCCGTGCTGGGGAAATTACCAGGACTCGTGTTTGAAAAACAAACAGCGAGGGCGAACAAGAACGGAAAATGTAAATTACGGCGCTTAATTGGACGCCTAAGCGCATGCTAGGCATTTAACGATTTAACCTTCGATTCCCCGCCGCAGAGCTCAAATTAAAAACCACTGAAAAAAGAGGTCCTCAACAGGGCCACGAGGACAAAAACGGGGAGCAGGACTGCCATCGATTGGGGCCTCCACTTTCCAGCCGCGTTTTCCGCATCAGTAAACGGAATCGATCCCAAATTGTGCAACGGCACCTCTATATAGTTCTTGTACAGGGTACGATCGTTTAGTGGCTGGATGGGTCGGAAATTGTTCTTCAGATGATCATCGTTGGCGGTCAGCAGGCGGAAGGCATTTAGCTGGGGATAAGCAAATAAATATTAGTTTGTCTTGTATTTAAATAAAATATTTTAGCAAAATATTTACCTGCTTCTCCGTAATGTCAATGGGGACTGTAAAATCGATCCAGGTAACCTCCTCACTGCAAGGTGGAGTGGTTAGAGAACCCGTGTAGCTGAAGTAGCTTTCCAAATGCTTCGAAATATATTCTCCCAGGGGAAGCGGGTTGGTCATGTTGACGGTTTTGCCTTTGCGATCAATCTCGGCTAGCAAATTCGTGAAGCCCTCATAGCCCCCAGTTGTATTGACGCCAACCTAAAAATTGGGCATATACCAAATTAAAACGGACTGTTTTCAGGAGTCAGAAAAAATTCTCACCTGAAAAAAGAAGGCCATCACTGCGATGCCGTGATCCTTATCCAGAGCGCTAGCAAAGTCGGGATATTCCAGATTGCGAAGTACCACATGCAGTTCGGCGGGATAGGCACGGTTATTGATCAGATCCTCGCTGCCTATCGTATCGTTCTCGCCCCAGTGAAAGTGGAACTGCTCGAACTGGTAGCCCAAAGGAGTTTTCTCCGCCAAAGGACCTCCCCTCACAGTTGGCACCTTGTCCTCGTCGAAACTCATCTTCACCAGCACCGTGTGTCCATTGTTCGACATCTGAAAAGCCTCGGGCACCACTTTGAAGTTAAAGAACTCCAGACTGGGAAACCTCTTCTCTACGGCATTAACCAAGTCGATGTTTATGGGACTCTGGTGCTTCCCACTGCAACGGGCATAGTCCTCGCCCCAGTGCTCAGGACCATGACTTCCTCGATAGCCAAAATCTTGGCCCAAAACCAACGAAGCTAAAATTATAAAATTAGTATATTGTATTAGATTTATTTGAAATGGAATCGACATTACATATATGTCTACTTGTTGACTTGTTTCTCAAAGGAAAACCAACAGAGACGATTAATCGAACTGTTTAAGGTGCTAATTGAAAGATAGTATTGGTGACATTTCGTGACATCGAGTGGGTGTGTAATCAGTGATACCTGTTTTATCAAGCTATCTCCTATTTTTGGTCGCAGCGAAAGCTATAAATATGCATTGTGTGTGTCCTATTAATTTTGCACATTCTATTAATGCAGTGCCTGTCGTCATTGGGAATCAGTTCAGCCAGTTCAAACATCGAGACACCCTTAATTGCTCAATCAATTAGCATTAATCGGGGAACAATTAACTGTGTAAAGTTTATTTCAGTTTGCGGGGAATTTCTATGAACTTGTATATTTCACCCATAGAAAAGGGCGAAGCTCTCAGTTGTAAATACGATCTGTAATATTTTCACTTTGCATACAAAAGGCGACATTAACGCCCAATTTGTGGGCCACAAAATTATCTCTCATTAACAAGTTGCCTAATTTATGGCAATTTTAAGTTAATAATGGACTAATTTCTATTAGCGGCATGTTTAGTATATTGTTCGCAAATTAGCTCTCACCGTTATTAAATAAAGTTAGTCTTAATAGGATAATTGAAAAGCACTGCTTAAACAATCTTCTTTAGAAAAAATTCCCTTTTAATTCGGGGTGATTTTTTTACGACAGGTATCATGTGGCTTGGTCATGTCTGGTTCTGATGATCAACATGGACAATGCTGACGAATAATCAAGAAAACCCGAATGGCAGGTAGAAGGTCGAAGATCAATCACGTGACCGACTCGTAAGTGGCTATAAATAAATTAAAAGTTCTATCGCAGAAGTGTCTAAAAAGTATAATCATAACAACTTCAAACTGTGATTTCATTTATTTACAACCAAGATAATCGGGGAGTTTTCCAGAACATAACATTATTAACATAAGATTAATAATTTATTTGCCTATTTTGTATCTAGTTTATTCATTTTTATCTCCACTTAAAGATTTTAAAAACAAAATGTTAAGAATAGTTTTAGGTTTTAGTTTTTCTTCAACCGACTTCGATACCAACGGGTTTATCCAATTGTTTTGCACTAAAGGAAAGAAATAAAAATTTCAAAACAAATCAAAAAATTTGATTGAATTTTTTTTCTGTGCATTACAATCCTACAATTGTTTAAATATTTGCATCACTTAGTTATAAAAAAACTTTGCCGGTAATCGCATAGCATATGTATATGGCTTGATTGCACGCCTCATATCTTGATTAACGCACTTTAGTCAAACGATTCCTTATTATCAAGTGACACCTTTGTTTTGCTATATAGCTCACCACAAATCAAGATCGGGGCAATGACAATTGCAGTCGGGGTGTTGCGACACCTCCTCATGGTTTCACTTTGCCTCGGAGTCACTTTCGCGGAACTCTTGCCTTATCTGGCTATCGGGGCACTGTCACCAGTTACCAGTCGCGACTAATTTACGAACTATAACTATTCGAGGCACTGCACAAATCCAGCGGCTTTCGTAGGTATTCCGACTCACTGCTGTCCCTCTGTCTTATTTTCCGTGCTCGCCCGCCGAACGCGGTCACACAACTGCGGTTAGGGCCTCGACGACACCGCAACTTATATCGCCTCATCGGAGGTTTGTGTCTGCCGCCGATTGCTTCTGTTGTGTTTCGGTGCCAATTGAGTTGGAGCCCAGGGGACGGAACTTTCCTATACACTCGAGTGGTGAAGAAGAGACCAATTCGAGGCCCAAGCCAACAAATGCCAGTCACAGCCGATGGAAGTCTATTAGCATTCTTACACTGCATTATATTTTTAGAAAACTTAAAAAATGCCCTAAAAAATTCTATAAATTTCTAAAAAATATATTTTACTATTTAGCATACAAGACACATTTATATAAATCGATATAAAGATGTTACAAAAATATATTGCTTTATTTGCAATATTTACAATACCAACATCACAGTGTAACAATACTGCTAAAGGTTAACCATCCGGATGACTTTGTGGCCCTAACCTTGCCATTGAGTCGCGGTATTTGGGTTGCTTGGCATACTCATAAAACTATTCCACTCAAATTAATTCTATAAACTTCAACGGTACAGTTTTTTAGTGTTTCTTTTTTACACCAAGCTCTCAAAATAAAGTACAGACCTTAAAATGAGTGTTTATTATGCTTGTCTTTTAATAAAAACTGTTAATTTAACAGAATGGGAATTAAGAGGTACTAAAGTGCTTCACTTGAACTATAAAGTTTACTAGCCTCATAAATTACGTGAAAAAGATTACAATTTTTGCACTATTTTACCCATTTTGTAGTTCTTTCTGTAGTTCTTCTAAAATTATTTATTAACTTAAACTTTAATAATTTACAAGCTTTAAAGCGCAAATGTCTTAGCATTTGTTTTTTGAAAAACATAAACTAAATGATTTTAGAATTGTTTCTACTATAACAGCCATAGGTGTGCTTCTACACTATCACTCGAAGCTTTTGAAGTTTTCCGTTAGTTTAGTTCCACCTTGTAGGGGTATGATATATGTCCCTATTAATGAAATACCACACAGTAGAATATATGTTTACACAAAATAGTTTATAGTTTTATTATTAGTTTATTTCACAAGTTTTATCTGGTCAGGATCACTGCTGGCATTCAACTAACTTCGCTCTCAGCTCACGACTCGAACCAACCCCCGACTCTCTGAGAGAGTGAGTGTGGTGAGATCGCAAGAGAGAGAGTAAGCTCTACAACAACAACAACGTACTCTAAGAATATTCAGGAATGTTCTAGAAGGAATACAATAACTTATACATACATACATACTACTACGTAGCCATCCTGCTACAATTCGGCCGTCCTGACATTTCAAGATCCCCTGATCTTGGTTTAATTTACAATTGATTTCATCTAAAATTATCTTACATACTATCAGTCTTTAGATTTACCATTCTTTGGATATATTTACAGCTATTTTCGTTTACCAATCCAATGCTTAATATTTTGACTACTCCAGACTCCTTGATAAGGGCAACGCGACAATTGAAAACCTTCCACATCTTTTATTACATACCTATCATTTCTCAAAACTTTATCTATAACATAAGGACCCTTGTGTTTGGGTATTAGCTTCCTTGCGACTCCTACTGCATTATCGAAATTTTTCACCATAATATAATCTCCAACTTTGTACTCTAAACTATCCTTCCTTTTTTCATTGTATCTTCTTTCGTTGTCATTTTGTAATTTGATTTGCGATTCCACTCCATTTTTCCTAATTTTGTCTAAATCTCTAACATCACTAACATTATCTAATTCTTCTAACTTTTGCCTCAATTCATCAATAACTTTTCCTTTCTGTTCGATTCCAAACAACATTTTACTCGGCATTTGTGCAATGCTTCTTTGCTTTGTATTGTTCAATGAAAATTCAACGTCCTCAACAACTGTATCCCAATGCAGTCCTTTTTCCGGATCTGCTAATTTAGCTATCATTGGCCCAATTATTCTATTAATTCTTTCCACCTGCCCATTTGCCTGAGGTGACCCAGTCGCAATTTTTACGTGCTTAATATTATATTCTTCGACAAATCTTCCAAACTCTTCCGATGTAAAACAGCTTCCTCTGTCCGAAACGATACATGTTGGCCTGCTGTACGACCTAAAATAATCTTTCATTGCTATAATAACTTCTTTTGTGTTCGTCGTCTTTGTTGCATATAGCCTAACGTATTTAGTAAAACCGTCTATCACCACAAACAAATGTTTCTTTGATCTTCCATTATCAACCGGTCCGTAATGATCGATATGTATAATTTCGAATGGCACATTTCCTTTTGGTATGCTGTGCAACATTCCTTCCCCTTTTCCTGACTTTGGCGAATATGCCACACATCTCAAACAATTATCAATATGTCTAACAACTTTTTCTTTCATATTCGGAAACCAATACGTCCTAACAATAGCATCCATAACCTTGTCTCGTCCTAAATGACCTAATTCATTGTGATATTTGTATAATATCTTGTCCTCCATTTCTCCTGGCACACAGAATAACAATTTCCCATCATTTGATTTTCTATAAATAACTCCATTTCTCATCTCAAACATTTTATCTTCCTCTTTTTCTAACTTTTTCCTAACATCTTTCAACTTTTCATCTTTCGCTTGACAAATAATTAAATTGTCTTCAAAACTATTCGTTTCTACTACCAGTATATTCGTATTCCTACTTAACGCGTCTACGTGTTGCATAAGTTTTCCCGATTTATGAACTAACTCAAAGTCATACTCAAGCAATTCTAATGCCCATCGTGCAATTCGAGGGTTTAACTCAATCCTATTTAATGTTAACGTCAGTGAGTTACAATCAGTAACTATTCTAAATCGTCTACCCTGCACATAAATTCTAAATCTTCGTAGAGCATAAATTATTGCTAACGTTTCAAGTTCAAAACTGTGATATTTTGCCTCGTCTTTTGTTGTGGCCTTTGAAAAATAAAAAATAGGGTGCAACTTTTTATCCTCTTTCCTTTGTAGTAAGACCGCTCCAAAACCTTGTGCGCTTGCATCTGTATGCAATTCTATCTCGTCTTTATAATAATATAATCCTAACACTGGCGCTTTAACTAACATTTTCTTAAGCATCTCAAAACATTGTAGTTCCCTTTCTTCAAATGCAAACTCTTTATCTTTCTTTAACAGGTCATATAATGGTTTTGCGATCATCGAAAAATTCTTAATGAATCTCCTAAAATACGAACATAAACCTAAAAAGCTTCTAACACCATGTACTTTATCTGGAACAGGGAAATCTCTAACAGCTTCTATTCCTTTATCATTAGCTTGTATTCCCTTGCTGGTTACTAAAAAACCTAAATATTGTACACTTGCTTGTAAAAACTCACATTTGTCCATTCTCAATTCTAGTTTGTTTCTTGCTAAACGATCAAAAACTTCCCTAAGAACATTTAAATGTTCCTGTATCTCTTTACTGGCGATCATAATGTCGTCCATATATATTACTACCTTGCCATCCCTAATCATGTCCGCAAAAATTGTATTAATAAATCTCTGAAACACCGCAGGAGCGTTTTTAAGCCCCATTGGCATCCGCATAAATTCAAATTGTCCTAATGGCGTCATAAATGAAGTATATTTTATTGAGTCCTTATCCACAAATACATGAAAGTAGCCATGTTTTAAATCTAATTTCGAAAATATTGTTTTATTTACTAAAGTGTCTAACAAATCGTCAATTAAAGGTAAAGGATAGTTATCTTTAACCATTGTCTTATTAAGTTTTCGATAATCCACACATAGTCGTAAGTCGCCTGTTTTCTTTTTTACTAACACTATTGGAGATGCGTACTCCGATTGACTTGGTCTTATAATTCCCTCGTTTAAGTATTCATCTAATATAACCTGTAACTTTTCTTTTTCTGTATAAGCTAAACGTCTGGGCGAACAACTAAAAGGTTTAGAATCCTCTAATCTTAATTTTATTTCACATCTAACTTCGGGTTCCTTTGGTCTTTGTTTATTTACATAACAGCTTTCTACCATTTTAATAAAATGACGCCTAACATTATAATTCACTTCATTGCCAATTTTGTAATCTGGACTTTCATCTGTAATATTAATATTAAACAATTCCCTTGCCACTAGATCTATTTCATTGCTATTCCTAACTATTTCTTTATCTGTAACTTTACTAACATTTCTAATCATCTGCCTATTGTCGCTAATTTTATCACTAACATTGCTAACTATCTGGTTTTCATGACTAACAATATCACTAACAATCTGATTTTCTTCTCTAACATTTCTAACAATATCACTAACATTTGGAGGGTTTTCAATGTTCTCAACCGTAACCATTTTCAAAGTGTCGAGGTTTAAATTAATATTACATGCTTCCATAAAATCTCTTCCAAGGACTACGTCATGACTCATAGATTTGTTTGCCACAATAACTAAATGAAAATGAATTTTATTTAAATTCTTCATAACATAACACAATATTTTGCCATAGGTTTCTAAGTAACTCTTATTTAATCCATGATATAAACTTAAAACTGGTAATTTGCAAACATTTTCTGGTACTTTTGATATTTTAATAAATGAAATCGGGCTCCCTGTATCTATGAGACATTCTGTAGTTAACTTGGTATTAATATCATTCATAAAATTGATTTCAACGTATCTTACATAATTATTATTGCCTGTGTTCTTATTTTTGCTCTTCAAACACGTCGCCACAAAATGTCCCATCTCGCCGCACGCATAGCACGATCCTTTCTCCCGTTTTGACTTTCTGCACTCGTTCGCCCAATGCCCTTTGGCATTGCAATTGAAACATCGTGTCTCCTTCTTGTCCTTGAAGTCCAATGATGTCATCGGTTTTCCAACAGATTTCGGTAATCTAACATCGGCAAATGCTCGCTTTATGTGCCCAACATCCACAAAGCTTTGAATGTGCGCCAGATTGCGCAGCCCTTGATTTGTAATACCTTCGATGATGCAGCTCAACATTTCATCTCCATCAATATTAATGCCCTGAGCAAGCATTATCTTGTCGTCAACATAACTCCCGAACGTCTCGCCTGCAC